GGCCCCCATTGTTCCATAAATTCGCTGCTCCTTCTATCAAACTTGGGACTCTTTATTATTGGCTAGAGAAACGGGACTTCGCATAGATTTAAATATGTTTTTAAGTTATCATAAATGGAAAGAGAAGGGTGTGGGGGCTGACCCAGCGGGCTCGATGTTTTTGATGATGGATGTTGTTTGTAGTTTTTTTTGTTTGTTTTTTTAGGATTATAATTTCAAATAAAACTTATTTAAAATTCACTGCTCCTTGCTGAGCCACACTTGACACCAACTTTGGTATCCTTTCAGCATCAGCTAAGACTGTCCTCAATGAGAGGGCATTTCATTTGTTTCAGTTAATTATGTTAACTGCTTATCTGGTCCTACCACTTAATCAGGGTAAGCAACTATAACTTTTTTAAAAAGTCTGGGTTCAAAACTTTTTAAATTCTTTATTGTGCTATTTGTATTGTTTTCGTATTTTGTATTCTATGTTATCTGCTGTTGTGAACATTCCAAAGAGCGTCAGTTTAGGGGCTTTATAGAAATGTAATAATCAACTCTAAAATGGAATGTATCTGTTCATTCATTCAATCTCTATATGGCCTGTTAGTCAAGATGACTCTGCAGCACACAAGGGATCCATACCTGAGCACCTGCCATGAATCAGGGAGCGTTATAGTGGCATTGATCCATTGCCATGGCACATGCTAATAAATACATGTGGATTGTAAATGCAGATGCAAGTCTGGGAGAAGTCAGAGGAGTTGGAAAGAGGGTGCACAGGGAAGGCCTCTTTTAAGTTTCATTGGCTTAAGGTAGGTGGGTTCGATCCAAGTTTGCTGCTGCACACAGGCGACACGTTTAAAAAGGTAACTCACAGCATGGTTCTGGAAACGAGCAGCAGCCCTTCGTATTTCGTATGCCGAAGTTTGCGGCTGTAGGTGCCACGGAGGGCCATCGGATTTCCTTCTGCACAGACCATGGTATGCTTTAAACTAGCTGATTCTCACCCAGCCCTTGAAGCCACAGGAGTGGTTCATGTTAAGCAGATTCACACGTGCGTGCCGGCGCTTCAGTAAAAACAATTTTTAAACCCTCATTGCAGCATCCCTGCCCCAAACAGTTCTGCAGATTTAGCACACACTGAAATATGTGGAACGCGCTCCCCAGAGAGGTCCGCCTGGCGCCGTCATTATATGTTTTTTGGCTCCAGGTTAAGACCTTTTTATTTCAGCAATATTTTAATAAGTTTTAATATCATGCCTTATATTTTTTTATTGCAGCCAGTGTGGGTCGATAATTTTATCTATGTTTTATTTTATTGTATTATCTATGTGAGCTGTCCTGAGGCTTTCGTGACAGGGCGGCATATATTTAAATAAATTACACACACACACACACACACACACACACACACACCCCCCCCCCAGAAAAAACCAATGCCTACAGACGTCGTGATATCATGGGCTGGAAGATATCTGAGATATAACAGCAAACTTTTAAAAACTGTTTGGGGTTCACATGATGCAACACGCCAGTGAACCAGGCATTACAAGGAGTCTCTTTTGAGTCAGCATGTTCATTAGGCTATCCCCCAGAACCCCAAATTCTTTCTTGGTTAATCACCGCTTTGCTTTTGAGCCAGGCCCCTGTGCCAGAAACACTTTCCTGACAGCCAGAAATGCACTGTTTGCCCACATCCCTTAAAAAAAACCATTCTTCTTTACTTCTTTGTAGGAAGTCGCTGGTAAAAGCACATGAGCAGCTCCAGAAGAACAATGTGGCACTTGCCAGCTTATCAGATTTCGTCCCTGGGCATGTAACGGCAGGTGTGCCATACAAAAGGAAACCCACCTTCAGGCAGCAGCTCATAGCTGAACTATGAAATCGGCTCCCATAAGATGCAGCAATGGCCACCAACTTGGCTTTAAAAGATTAGACGCGTACCTGCTACAGGGGAGAGAGAAGCTGGTGGAGAACAGCTTCTGCTTCAGGGGCACTTGTCTGGCATTAAAGCTCAACTCACTGGGCAAACCAAAATGCTCCTGGGGAGATGGAGAGGCCCATTCTTGATAGTGGAACGGTCTGAAAACCGCAGATGCATAATAAAACTGCAGATTTGCTTCCCTGAGCTGCTGGCCAAGCTATAATCTCTCAAATTCAGAGGAGGATGTCATGGCTCTAGCTGGTGGGCTGTGCCAGATCAGCTTAAACAGTACATAAATGCAACTGTTTATACAATATCCATGTAAGTGTGTGTGCACACACACACACACACAAAGAGAGAGAGAGAGCGAGAGAGAGAGAGAGAGAGTTGACATTTCAGAATAGATCTTCACAGCCAACACAGCTGCTGTCCGTTCAGACCGCCTCTTTCCATTGCCCCTACTCTCCACACAGAGTCCAGGTTTATCTTTTACAAGGCTGGACGGGGTTTTTTTGGCCATGCTTGTTCTCATTTTCTGGGAAAAATGTTGCAACTGGGCACAGACCAAAGACAACAGTCTACCCACCCACTCACGCACAAGGGCCCGGCCTTAAATGTTTGGGCTTGATCAAGGCATTTGCTCTGCTTCAAAATCTGGAAGGGAACTTGCAGGAAGAAGCTTTCTCTGGTTCACCCTGCAAGCACCTCCAGATCTGGCCCACGGGACTTCCTCACCTGGCCTGTGGAGCCTCCTTGAATTCGTGACCAAGTCGGGTCTATAGAAGCTAAGCCAGTCCTGTCTCGTGTACCGTTAAGACCTACCAACACTACAACACAGTCTTTCCCAGCCCGATGCTCTCTAGATGCGCTGCAACTGCAACTCCCATCATCCCCCAGCCAGCCAACCAGCCATAAAAGATGCATTTGCTACTGGAAGACTGAAAAAAGGAAAGATAAACATGACATTGGCTATGAAAATATTGCAGTTATGAGCTTCCTCCAAGTTCTGTGGGCATTTTAATGTTGGCTATAACCTATTTGCTTGGTTTTCTTAAAAAGCAATAACCAGCTCACACAATGCAAGCCAAGGAAGGGTTTTGTGTGATTCCAAAGCTTGCACACAAAGATCTTTATATAGTGCCTTTGAAATGCATTCAGAGCAGAGGGCTCCATTCTGTTCTTCCCTCAAATGCTGGCAGCTTGCTTTACAAACCCAAGCTGCTGGGCATCAGCTTGAGGGGAGCTGTCATGGGCATCAAATTCCACGGCTGGTATCCTTAGAACCCTCTGCTGCAATACAGCCACTTTGATCCAGCAATGGATCAGGCTTGCTAATTTAAGGCATGCCTATGGACCCCTTCGGATTCTCCTCCACCCTCCAACACCCTCCTACAGACCACACTCCTGCTACCGACACTGAATTTGGTAGCAACGAGACATCAGCTGCCAGGAAGCTGTAAAATTTGGAAATTGATAGCAAACAGGCAGTGTTTTTTCTGCCGTTGTGTCCCAACACTAACAGCAGGACCCATGCTGGGCGGGGTGGCCAAGTCCACGTGTGATCCACTTCTGAGCTAGGCGAATGAGTTTTAGTTAGGGTGCAAAAAAGACCCTGGATTTGATTTGCAGAGTCCTTGGCCCCCGATGATAAGAAGAGCCATGCTTTGCGTAAAAGTCTCTGCTTTGCATGGAAAAATATCCTAGGTAAAGTTCCAAAGGACTGCAACAGAGCTGGGAAAGACCGCCACAGATCTGTTGGTGAGAGACAGCCAGAGAGCCAGGGTGGTGTGGTGGTTAAGAGCATGGGACTGGGACTCAGGAGTTCTGGGTTCGAGTCCCCGCTCAGCCATGGAGCCAACTGGGTGACTTTGGGCCAGTCACAGACTCTCAGCCCAACCTACCTCACAGGGTGGTTGTTGTGGGGATAAGATGGAGGAGGAGAATGATGTGAGCTGCCTTGAGCCCTTTCTAGGAAAAAGGCAGGATATAAATCGAAAAACAAACAAATAAATAAATAAGTAGACAAACGGTCCAGCTTTGTGAAAGGCCGCTCGCTATGTTGAGAAGAGCCTAGAAATTCAGGACTCTGTGCAAAGGATCAGGGGATGGACCTCTGGAGAACCCCTCGCTAGAGAGAGCACATCCGTGGATTAGATGAATCAGACGCCTGACACAGACCTGGGCAATTACTGAATGTTTGCTTCCAGCATGAGAGAGCTGTTTTTGAGGAGTATCTAATGCTAGTCTGATGTAGAGAAGACGAGTTAAACAAATGGACCGCAGGCACAGAATGAGGGCTATGCCGCATCTGTCACAGAGGGTCCATTCCACAAGGAATAACACTGGATGCCACCCAGGGCTTCTTAGACGTCTGAGGTCCACCAACTGGAGCCAGGCACAAAATGATGCAGGGGGATGAAATGCACACGATTTACTAGTGAGTTATTCCAGCTCAGGGATTCTAAAAGTTTATTAGAACAGATTTAGGTCTAATTCCTGCTATTTTAAAACGATCGGGAGTTGGAAAACTGTGCTGATGTAGTGCCAATTGCCCAAAAATCTACTACCAGGATGCAATGTACCTTCAAGCTTATTCCTGATGGAACTGATTCAGATGCCAAAAGCCATCTTAAACTCACACAACTTGATAGAGTCACCTCCTATGCTAGGTAAGGACTGGGGCCAGAACAATAGAGGAGAAACAACTCTGGATTTCATGCCTCTACCAATTCAAAGTGGATTTTATACAGAATTGTGATGCGTCCCATGTAGAAAGCATTGGAAAAAGCACTGCAATATCACACAGAAACCACAGACACACAGAGTGAAGGGCCTGCCTAGTTCAAAGGAAGTTAATAGTCTTATCTCAACAGGAAAAGAAAAGCAGGAGGAGGGAAGAAAGCCTGTAAGACTTCTGTAAAGCAGTTTAACTACTAAGAGAAGCTAAAGGATGGTCAGCAGCGCCATCTGTAGGATATCCCAAGTGTTACACATGTTATACCTAGGAAAATGAAGTATTTTTGGTTTCGTACTTCAGCTCCTGAAGTCTTCTCTCTAGGAGTCAATTAATTAAAAAACACTAAAGTCACAATTTAGAAAAGATTGACACAAATTGTATTAGAGCTTTCAGAGAATTTCTACTTAAAGTAGTATTTCAGCACCAAAAAAACACAAAAATGGGCAGTTCAACTGATATGTGTATATACAGGATACATCAAAACTCTTAAAATGCTTATTTATAATGAAATCTATACAAAAGAGTTAAAAACTTGTTCCTATATACAGTTTTCTTTCTTTTTATATAAAAAAGCAATGTCTTTATTACCAAGATGTACAAGAGATTGTTTCTGTTTTAATCTGGTTGCTTTACCTGTTGCAAAACCCCACCATATTAACTTGTGCAAACCAAAAGGGTTTGAGAAAGGTAATCTCAAAACAAAACAACCCCCCCTAAACTATAAAAAGGGCAGCAATTTAAATTTGTAAAGTCCCCAAGTCATAATTAAAATTGCTTTAAAAACAAAAGGAAGAAAAAAATTCTGAATGTCACAAGCCACATCAGTTTGTAAACTCAGACTTCCAATGCCCTAGTTTTGAACCGTTTGCTTTCAGCTGATTTTCATTTCTCCCCTCCTGCAGCTTAAACATTAAAGCGTTTTGTTTAGGTAAGTTGCGTCTAAGTTACCGGACCTGTTTAACAGGACCACGAGTGTGAGCTCCCGTCTCTCCCTTTCGGTCTTTATATTTAAATAAATAAAAATTCTCAATTAACGTGAGACTATGAAGTCTTTTTCTTGTGTGCATGACAGGAACAGAAATGTGACTCAGTATCTCGTTAGGCGCATCTCTTCACAGTGCTGTTCTCCCATGGTTTTGAGTATTCCTGGATAATGCCATTTGGGTTTGTGTGGGTTTTTTTTTTTAAAGACCAATTCTTAAATTGCGCAATAGCAAAAATGATGCATCAGTGCAGGGAAGCCCCACCCCACCTTGTCAAACATGGAACATCTTAGGTACTTCCCAGTACTGAAAATATACCATTTGAGTTTCTTTCCAGAGAGACTTAAGATGCTCTTTTTAAAAATTACAAACCTTTTCTTGCAAGAAAGATTCATTTAACTGCAAACACGGTTTGGGTTTGCAATCTGGGTTGCTTGTTATTTTCTTTACACTGAGAAAGGTGCAGCAGCCAGTCCAGAATGTCATAGCAAACAAAACTTCAACACACCTTTCATTAAAAAACAAAATACAGTCGCCTCGTGTTCTTCGTCGTCTTTGCTTGAAGAAAATACATTCCGCCGTCATAAGCTTACTCCAGCACGGCAACACTGCCGCCTCCCTCCGAAACCATTCTGCGACCCCACCTGGCCGATACCGTCCCGCTACCGTGCCAACAAGTGGCAGGTCCAAACACCTCTGACAGGCAAAGTGCTGCAAAGGGATAGTACAAGGACATTTTGGATCGGCACAGCCAAGATCTTGCTGCTGCTGCTGCTGCTGCTTTTAAAGTGCACTCTGGCATCCCAGAAGCGCTATGATTGTTCGGAGCTCTGCGTTGGGCTGGGCTCTGTTCCTTCCTCGTTGCTGCTGTCCATGTCTTGCTCCATCACCGTCTCCTCGTCATCAAGGCGTTGGCTGGTGAAGTTGTTGAGCTCCAGGAGGCCGCTGGGTTCCACGACCACGTTGGAAGTGGAGTGGCAGGCGACGGAATACTGCGGGATCGTCTGCCGGAGGAGGGAAAACACTGTGAGAGATTGAAGCCGGGGCGTGGGCACTGGGAAGGGGTCTTCCCAGACAGAGGAAGAGCTGCAGTGTTGGGCCAGGTGGAATCCGCAGGCCAGCTCTGGATGCCACTGCCCCCCCAAAATAAAAAGGGCATCCACAGCAGCCCCCAAATGGACACATTTAGGCTTGTCTGCAAGCTCAAATTGGCTTATAGCTATAGAGTGCCAAACGGGTAGGATGCAACACGCAAACAAGCTAAACGGGCCTTTTCCGCTGCTGCTGCTGCTCCCCATCTCCGGAACCCCCTCTCTGGGGAAACTCGCCCAGCGCCATCTTTATTTTCCTTTCGGCGCTAGGCAAAGACATGCCTTTTAAGGAATTTTTTTAACACTTAGCCTGAATGTTGTGGCCCTTTATATATTTTTTTTATAGATGTCTTAATATGTTGAGTTATAATTGATTGATTGCAGTGCTAAGTAACTGAGTGGCATTTTCAAGACTTCTTTCAGGGGGTGACCCCTAAAATGGGGGTGCAGAGGTCCCTGGACCTCCAAGGTCATCCACTCCTGTATCTGTGAGCCGTCCCGAAGCTATACAGCAAGGGGACGGCATACAAAAACTTTAAATAAATAAATAAATATTAGAGTTACTGTTGCCCCAAGAGAAAGCTGGTGAAGCCCAGTGGCTAAGGATTGACGGTTAAAGTCGACTAGATAATGGGGATTCATAAAGCAGTTGGGGCAGGAGGGAAACCTGGATCCTGGTAGCAGTCGAGGGCAGGGAGTTCCAACTGCTCCTCCTGTGCTGGTTTCCAAGCTAAATCAGCTCCCTTGCTCTGCCCCCACAGTGCCCTTCTAGGGAAAAACGCACAGCTGCAATTCCTCCTCTCCAGCACCACCTTTCAAGCACTTCCGACCTAGAAGCATCTTTAAAAGCAGCAACTGCAACACCAAACACCGCTCTCCACGTTTTGGCCACTGAATGAGTCCGAGTTATGTTCCAACTGGAAATGTCGCCTCTGACATGAATTTCCAGGAGGCCTCTTGGTCCTCATCTGCAGTACAGGCGTAAGTCTATACCTGGCCTACCTTACAGGGCTGTTGTGAAGATTACAACAGGCTAGCCCGAAGCCCATAAAATGATTATTTCATTTTCTCCACTGAACCTGCAGAGGCCTGCTTGAAAACACCTGGATTGGGGCTCTGCCTAGGAGAGGAGAACCTGTGGTCTCCAGGTGCTGTTGAACAAAAGCTCCCAACGATCCTCACCACTGGCCATGTTGGCTGGGGCAGATGGGAGCTGGAGTCTAACAGAATCTGGAGACTCACAGGTTTCTCACCCCTGGCCTAAGGTGCGCTCACACACACACACATACACACACACACACACAAAGGGATTGTACCAAGGGCCATGCAAGGGAAAAAGGAAAGCAGTGGGAGAGATATTCTCATGGATAAGGCAAAACCCAACTACGAGTCTCTCTCTTTCCCACCTTTTCTTACATCCATCAGAACACCAAAAAGGTAGAAAATCTTTCATCTTATGGTGTATCCCCAGCTTTCCACTGCCTTCCTTGGCCTTTGTAACTGCAGTGGTACCCAAAAGCCTGTGAATAGCATTCTGCCTAAAGCCTGAAGGCAATACCAGGGACGGGGGACGAAGCGAAGGTCCCAGGTAGTCTGGGCATTGGGGTTTTGGCGTACTGGAGGCTTCATGGCCTTCTGATGGCAAAACACACCTAAGTTTACAGCTTTAGAAGGCCAAACAGCTTCCTTTAATAACAGAATGGGTTGATGACACCAAACTCGATGGAGCTTTTCATTCTGAAGTGGTGCTTTTCAGGATTAATTTCCGAATGGACAAACACAGGGATGCCTGGGTTGTTTCGGTGAAGTCTATGCGCAACTATTCCGTAGCAGAAGAGCTTTTGTAGTCTTCTATACATAACATATATCTCGGTGCACACCATATATGTATTCACTCAAATTTCACGTAAACTTCAATGCTATTTTAATTTACTTTGTGGGGGGGGGGGGTGCAGGGTTGTCTTGTTTTTTGAAACTTGCAATAAAATAATTTAAAATTTAGGGGCTTTAGTGCTTTGATCACACAGCTCTTGCTTCCTAGTCCACAGGCAGACTCCCCACCTGAACTGCTGACCGGTCCCAACTTGCTTAGCTTGCTACGTGCTTAGGAAAGACTCGGCAGGTGAGCTGGGACTCACGAGCGGCCACAGCACCGCTGCTGCCATTCTATCTATGGGTCGCCCTGGGTTGCCGGCCGAGGTCTGTTTGTTTATTTTATTAAAATTTTCATATGCCGTCCCATAGGAGTGGCATCTCGGGACTGCTCACAATCAATACAACCAAATACCTTAAAAACAATCTAACAATTATTATTATTATTATTATTATTATTATTATTATTATTATTATTATTATTTATTATTATTATTATTATAACATTTCTATTAATAACGTATAAAACACAACTGTGGCATTAAAACACTAATTTTTAAAATAACGGTCGAATCAAAAGGTTCTGACCTGGCGCCGAAAAGAGTATAAGCTCAGTGCCAGGCGAACCTCTCCAGACAGCGCATTCCAGATCTGGGCGCCACTGTGGAGAAGGCCCTCTTCCGAGCAGATGCCCTTTTTACCTCCTTCAGGGAGGGTTCTCAGAGCAGGGCCTCCCTTGCTGATCTTAGGGGGCATGAGGGCATGTCAGGAAGGAGACAATCCCAGTGGCAGGAGATCCCAGTTCCAGGCCGACTGAAGGCAATAAATCTATATTCTTCCTGGGCCACGATTTCCTACACAGCCAAGACCTGTGCAGCTGCAGCTGAGATGGAGCTTTTCTGGCCCACTGGGGGTCCAAATGGCCAGGCCCCCTTCCTCAGATCGTTTGGCGGTTTCCTAGCTTTGGCACATTTTCCCCCATTCTAAATGCTGAAAAGCCTCTCTTGAGGCTTATTCCCTGGCAAAAAGAGCGTTCGAGTGAAATAAGTCGGCAGTTTTGCACTGTCCACCAATGAAAAGAGATGCTCCAGAACGGAACTCAGTCCTCTGACTGCAAGAGATTCAAACACAGATACTTTCACGATGCTCACCAAATGCAAAGGGTCCCAGGCAATTGCTTCTGATTACGGGCATGTCTGCCCCATTGCTATTTAGCGGGATGGATCTTTATTTTTTAGTGGATGAAGGCAACATGGGCAAGGGGTAATTGAACCTTCCCTTGACTTAACTTTCTAGGTCTGTGTTTTTTTCAACATACTTTATCCCAATAATGAAATTTAAAAGGTAAAGGTAAAGGTTTCCCCTTGACGTTAAGTGCAGTCATGCCTGACTCTCGGGGGTGGTGCTCAGCTCCGTTTCCTGGCCGAGGGAGCCGGCATTTGTCCGCAGACAGTCTCCGTGGTCGTGTGGCCAGCATGACTAAACACCGAAGTGCACGGAATGCTGTTACCTGCCCACCGAAGAGGTACCTTTTCATCCACTTGCATTTGCATGCTTTCGAACTGCAAGGTTGGCAGGAGCTGGGACGGAGCAACAGGAGCTCACCCCGTTGTGCAGATTCGAACCAGCGACCTTTCAATCAACCAGCCCAGCAGCGCAGTGGTTTAAACCCCTGCGCCATCTGCAGTCCCATAACAATGGAATTTTACCAGCCGTCAAATGCTTCCACAAGCTTGCCCTGCCCAGCCCAAATAAACACGTTCCCTGAAGTTTGTCACCTGTGGCACACTGAGATTCTGGAAGAAGCAAAGGCGACTTCTGAATTGCGAGCACTCATTTCTCGTCTCCAGGAAGAGATTCTTGCTCGACTGAGGTGAGCAGGGGAGAGGCTACTTACAAGCTGCCATTAAGGGACCAAAGGCAAGGATACTTAACTGTTCTTAATGGCAGTCACTTCTATTGTTGCTTAGGGGGACAGAAAGCCAAGCTGGGGATCACGCTGGGACCGTGCCTCTTGTCTGGGTGCAAATGCAAGAGAATTTGCACAAGACACATTATACTTTTGATGGGGGGGTGTTTGACCCCGATTTTATGTTCTCTTGTAGGAGCACAAGCAAAGATGTCTTAAGCTCTAGACATTTTGGAAGAAAACCTTCTTTAGGGATACTCCGGAATAACATTTGCCCAAGTGGTCTGCCAGCCATGAAAATGAGCTTCGGCAGCAGTTTGATCCCCAAACACATGGGGCTTAATAAATTCTTTGGGACCAGATGTTTAGGTCTTCAAACCCATTTGCCGTGCTGGCTGGAGCTTCCAAAAGCTGATGCTCCGAACATCGGAAGGTCTACTTTCTGCCTACTCATGATCTGGAAGTTCTCACCTTTTTTTCTTTTCTGGAGGAAGAGGAGGAGGAGAAGCCAGCCAGTTAAGCTCAGAAATCTGAATTCAGTTTGTCCATCTGCCAGCTTCCGGGTATGTTGGAGCACCAGTCCTATCATCCCCAGCCAGGCTGTTGGGGAAGGCTCAACAGAGCCTCGGGTCTGGGGGAGAGCATGTGCGGCAGGGAGCTGTGCCGGTCAGCAGCAGCAGCAGCAGGGCCAACGCTTCTCCTGAGCCTGGAGAACGCTTGGTGGGCCCTTTCCACATGGACCTGTTGACAGAGGGCCTTTGACACTCCTCTGGGGACGGAGTTCGGGCCAGAGGAGGAGCGGGGTGGAGCAGAGGCACGTGCTGGGGCCGGCCGACACACAGAGCCCCATGCCCCCGCCCTCGCAGGGGCGTGCCCAGGTGGCTTACCTGGATTAAGATCTCGGCAGGAATCTCCTCCGACTTCTTTGGGGCAACGTTCTGGATGCGGATGAACTGGCTGGCTGTGGCGGGAGCTGCCATGGCCTGCTTCTGCTCCTGCAACGGCGGCCCGACGCCTGGCGGGCTGGAAGCCACGTCCAGGCGCTTTGGCTGCTGGAGGACCGACGCGGCCACAGCTGAGCCCACCGTGGCAACCCTCAGCACGGAGGCAGGCGACGAGTCTGTTTCGCTCAGCAGGTGACCTGGGGGAGAGGCCTTGCTGCTCGGAAGATCCACTAGCACACGGTCTGCGCCTGGGTCAATTTGCGCTTCCATCATGGACATTTTCAAAATGTCCGCTACCGCCGTCTTCGCACACCCCTGGGCGGGAAATAGGCTCGGGAGCGGTGGCGCCAGCTTGGGCACCGCACTGACACTGGCCACCTTGGACACGGTGGGCGGCTGATGCCCTTCAAAAGTTATCTTTGTAACAGAGGATCCTTGGGTTATTATGGGCTGGTGCACCTGAAAATCAAATTGGGGTTGCGCATGTTACAGGCAGGTTGGCTTGGTTTGGTTTCGTCGGTTAAAAAATTATAAATAGATATTACTACTTTGAGCTAGACAACAATAGAAAAATATACACCAGCAGCACTTTCTACAGGGGGAGGAGATTTGGAAATCCGGAGGGGGGTGGTTTGGATCAGCAGCCACAAGGGGAGAACTTGCAACGACAGGTCGAGGTAGGTTTGCAGACGGCTAGTCGTCTGGCTTGGCGATTACACCACAGCAGTCCCGTTTTCCTTTGGGATTTACACCCCCCGAAGCATGGCCCAGCTCATTCCCCCTTCCAACAGGATCACAGCGCTTAAGCAGAGCGGCTTTTAAGGGTGCGTACAGTGGTCAATCGGCACATTTCCCCCCTTTTCCTTTTATTCCATTTTTCCGCATTCCCGTGTGGTTTGGGCCCTCCCGAGGAAAATGAGGTTGCTCTTCTAGGACAAAGAGTTACTAAGCCGAGGGTGATGTAAACTACAAAGGAAGACGTACAATGGAGATCCTTAGACTGCCGCCGGACGCTGGTCTTTATTTTCCATAGAAATTAAAAAAGGGTATTTACGGGGACGGAAATCAATAACGTTATACCTAAAAAAGAACAAACAAAACAGAAAGAAAGAAAAAGAACAAAAGTTAGGCGTCAGTCCACAGCACGGCAGCTGCAGAGATCCGGCATCTAGAAAGCAGGCCAACTAACAGCGGCACGGGCTGGCCGGGGCTTCTTTCCCCCTTCCCTGGAATGACTGCTGTCTCTCCTTTTTCGCATCCAGGAGAACCTCTGTCAGTTCGGGGCAATGCAGCAGGTGTGGCTTTGGAACCACCAAATGCCTAATTTGAATTTTGCCTCTGTCGTGAACTTGCCTCGTGGCCTTAGAGAAGCTGCTCCCTGCCTCCGAGCAGCAATATTTATTTCGGCTGGCTTATTTCATAGGTTTTTAGACCACTTACCGTATTTAAACCTGTCTAAGCAGTGGCTTTTATGCGGACCTGCCTCCCTGAGCCATTATAAAGATTGCAACTAAACCCGTGTGAAAAAGTTCGAACAGCTGAAAGCACCGGAGAAATGCTAGGCGTTAGATGAAGGGTCTTCTCTACGCACACAAACACACACGACCCCTTCCTTCTGCCATGCTCTCAGTCTCTGTATGTGTTGCGGGGAGCAGAATCATCTGAGGCTGAGGAGGAGCCAACGACAACATCGCTGACTGAAGGAGTCGAGAACACTTTCTCAACTTCTGTGTAGGGCTCCCCAGAGCGGTCCGCCTGGCGCCGCTGTCATTTGTTTTTCAGCGCCAGGCTAAGACCTTTTTATTTAAAACTTATTTTACTTGTTAAATTATTGGATTAATTAGGATTTTAACATTTTAGCCGAGAATGCACCGGGGGGGGGTTAATGTTTTTTTTAATTGTTATATGATTATTATTTATGTATGTTTTTATGTATTCGTTGTGAGCCGCCCCGAGGCTTTGTTGCGATGGGGGCGGCATAGAAATGTTTTAAATAAATAAATAAATAAATAAATAAATAAATAAATAAATAAATAGGGCCGGGTCACAGGCCCCCCCACTTTAATCACCCACAATGCCCTGGAGCGGCACTACACTGGGAGGCAGATTGCAAGCAAGGTAAGGGCAGCTCCCCTCCCTGCTGTTTATCCACGTCGCAGGCTTCCCTGCCCGGTGCCAGGACCCCAGTGGCTGCCCAAGCAAGTTGCGTGCCCAGGCTGTCCCTGGACCTGGACCTTGAACTGAATGAGCAAGGAGATGGGAAGGGACTTCATTTAACACAAATTTCACTGTGCGTCTTTAAATCCCTGTGTGAACCAAAACTCGGGTACCTTGCACTTCTTGGAATTTTGTTACTGGGTATTCCAACCGGGAGAAATAACATTCAAAAGTGCCTATAAGGGGAAACCTATAATAATTAAAGGGTATGTTTTTATGCAAACTTTTTAAAAAATCTGATGTGCAAGATGAACTCAGTTCAAGACTGGGGAACTTCTCAAGTGTTTTGACAAACGGGATTTAAATTGGGAAAATGGAGAGACTAAACACAGAGAGATTCTCCTTCCCCCAGCAGGATCTTTGCATCTGAACACATCCACAATGGACGGCCGACTCCAGGCAGAAAAGCAAAGGAGCATGGTAAGGAGAAGGAACATTGGGGGGGGGGGGGGCAGGATGCCTTCTAGGAGATCACGCGGGTTCAGACCCGACTGGGGAAACCGTCTGAACAGCTTCCTAACAACCCTGCAGCTACACTACGATCCTCTTTGAAGCTGAGGCACCGCAGGCGGCGTGGCCTTCAGAGGGTGGCTGGGGGACAACGGCCCTTGGGACTCCTGGGGAGCTTTTCCCCAGGAAGTAACGCAGCCGGAGCCTCCTTGGCTCACCTCTCATTACTGGCGCGCTTTCTGTTTCAGTGTTCATGGGGTGACCTTTTTACTGGGTTGTCTCTTCTACTCATGCCAGGGTTTGGTGCTATGCCATTTTCTTCTATTTGACGGAACCCAACGACTGGATGCCCTTGAGGACTGCAGGGCCGCCAACACTCGCTCCATCTACTGGATCCCCTCGAGCCGTCTCCTTATCCAGACTGACGAGCGACAGAGGCTCCGGCTGGGTTATCTGCAACAAGTGCCCATGCGGCTGCTTCTCCTCCAAAATGGAATTGACCAGCATAACACCACATGCAGTACAGCACCCGGCTGGCACAGAGCCTCTGCGGCTGGTCCCGTCGGGGAAAGAGGCTAACGTGCTCTCAGCCAGCTTCTCAGGCCACAGGGAAGCATCTGAAGAGCACCGGGAGAACGTCTTCGGGGACAGGGAACGGGGGGGGGGAGCCCCAACACCCGGCAGCTACGTTGTCTGCTTAGCTCTCCCTCCCCCGGGCATCAGCTTGCTCGCAGGCAGGCCGGCCCTCAGGCATGATGGGCTACCAGGGAAGGCATGGCCAGCCCACTGCAAGTGGGAGACGCCCCTCCCCAGGCTGCCTCCTGACCGCCCGCCGCCCGGAGCCCCGTACCTGGCTTGCCGGAGGCTTCTCGGAAGCAGCAGGGAGCTGCACGGGGCCCTGGGGCTGGACGTAGATCTTCTGGGCTGTGGGCGCCTGCTGCAGTTTGGGGAGCTGCTGCGTGGTCTTGACGGCCAGCACCTGGACCACCGTCTGCTGGGGCTGGGCCACCAGGGTGGGCAGCTGCCTCTCGCGGGCCAGGGCGGCAGCGTGGTGGGCGGCTTGCTGCGCCTCCGACTTGGGCGGCGCCGGCTCCGGTGGCGGTGGTGGCGGCGGCAGCTGCAGCGGGGCCAGCTTCTGGTGCCGGATGGAGAGCTGGGGCATCTGGGGCAGCTTGTGGGGCAGCTGCTCGGCCTGCAGGTGGAAGGTCTGCTTCTGCCTGGCCTGGAAACACTGGAGGGCCTTGACCTGCAGCTGGGTCTGCTCCGGGTGCGGCTGGCTCAGCTTCTGCCGCTTCTGCACCTGCGTCAGGGCGCAGCGGTGGAAGAGCCCCGTCTGGGGGTCCAGGGTGTCCATCTCTTCCACCTCGCCCTCCTCCGCACTGAGCTGCTCACTGCGCTTGGTGACGGCCGTGTGGCTGCTCAGCGCCTTTGCAGGATGCGCAGGGGAGAGAGAGAGAGAGAGGGAGACAGAGAGGGAGACAGATCAGCGACAGCAAAACCGGACTGGCCGAGCAGGGATGAGTGCGACAGGATGCAGGAGCAGCCCAGTCTGGCCTGGCGCCCTCCAGGGGCCACCATTCCCGGCCTGGCTATGGGAGCATGGGCACCGGAGTCCTACAGCGCTGGCAGGAAGCAGGCCAGGGAGGGCTGAGCTAGAGTGCTGGGAAGGGGAGATCAGTTAGCCTCAGATGGGGCAGCCTTTCTGCAGAAATGCCTAGGGTGCCATATCCAAACCAGGAGCCCATGTGCCAGTGGTTCAGAGACCGGCCTTTTGCCACGATTCTCTTTCATCCAGGATAAAGCAGAGCGGAAACACTGCCTCGGTTGCCTGGGATAAACATTACCCCAGGAAAGAGTGTGAGAGTGTGGCTACAACAATATCCCTTTGGCCAGAAAGCCCAAGAAAGAAGCGGAATGTCTGTGAAAACGAAGGCCGGCACGGGAGTTTATGTATTTATGTATTTATTATTTTTCAATTTAGCATTTCAAAAGAGCAAAGGAAAGTATAGAATGTGGCAACAGTCTTAGAATTTGGCTCCCCAAGAAGCAAAAGCAAGTTCCCATCCTTCTTTGGAAGGAGGGCAACGCTACTGACAATAGCTAGAAAGGTGGCTGAAGATTTCTGGAAGGGAGAAGACGCTGGCATTCTTATCCATCTCAAATGCAGAATGAGAAACCATGCAAAGGCACAGAATCAAATTATGCAAAATAGGAAAAGCTATGCTGCATGTTCCATCCAGTTGGTGTGGCAGAGGCAGAAGAATTCAACTCTGCACAATGCTAAAGACATGCAGGCACCATATTCAGAAACCCTGGGACATCCCCGTTGGAGCTTCAAGCACTAAGAACTTCCCTAAGAATTCTAGGTTTAAGGGGCTTCCCTCATAAGGGGAGATGGGGGACACATTCTAGTCATTGGTGCTGCTTAGGAGTAAGTGCAGGATCCCAGACAGGCCAGCCACAAAGACATGTGGCATTATCACCTGGGCTAGAGGGGACACTTCAGGGCCCGCAGGAGCTGTGATAGCCAAGCATCCTTTCTTATTTTAAAAACATGCTTTAGTCAGGGGATGGCCAGCCAGGCAGATCTGTGGCTGCAGAGGCTCATTTTATTATTTTTTACTTTAGAAATACACGTTCCTTTTCTACAAGAATTGACTTTGTTCCTAAGTCAACGCCTTTGGGCATCAGGGTAGCAGAAGCAAATTCCACTCCGTTTTAACGGTTGCAATGAAGCTATGATTAGTGTGAGTTTAAAATGCGAAATGCCACATGCTCGAGAGCACGGCTTCTCATTCTCTGTGCTCTGATCTATCAGAAATGTAGCAACAGATGCAAAGCCTGGAACTGAGGTGGCCTGAGGAGGAGGAAAAGGTGAATGTGTGCTTCGCAACTGAGGGAATATACAGGATCAGCTAAAGAGGCCCCCATGAAGCCCAGGGCCCAAAGCTACCTGACCGCCCCAAGGGGGTCACTCTGGCGATAAACTGCCCTTCAATTGCTCTAGTTAATTCCATGTTTGCCCATTCATCTTTTCTGTACCCGTTTTCCACCAACAAAAATGGCACATGAGGCACCTTATAGTCACTAGGAAAACTTGATAAATAACAAACCTAATGCATTAAAACAGCAGAATAAGAGCTGCCTCCAACCGGGCAAAACCATTTTCATACCAAGGCTTGCTTGAAGAAAAAGCTACCCGGCTGCCGATGGAAGGTCAGCGGAGAGCCAGGGAGTGGGGACAAAGAAGGCCCTGTCCCAGTCATCATCCAATGGGCCTCCAAGGAATGACTTCTCCCAAAACTCCCGCACAATGGTCTCTAGCTGTTTTGGGCCCATGGGGACGTTTGAGAGTCTGCCAACCTGCCACGGGTACCACCACAAAATAGAGGAGGCTGCCGTGGGGCCTGGTCAGCCAAAAGAGGTGTTTGGGGAGAAACAGTAAGACTAGGGCTGGGGAGGAGGGGGAAGCGGCATGGGAGAGGGCTAGAGCGTGGCCAGAAGCGAGGAGGGGATGAACAACAAGGCGAAGTGGGAGCACAGTCAGGCTAGGGGTCTGGAGTGGGGAGAAACTGCAAGATAAAAGAGTGACTGGGAGGGAAAGGGTGGAGGTAGGGGGGAGGCTGGCGAAGGGCGGAAAAGAGCCAGGTGAGGGGCTGTGCGGAGAGGTAAGGCCATGTATAATTGCTAGAAAATTGTATCTGCTTATCAAGACATTTTGTGTATTCACTGCCAGACAAATTCATGGATGCGTTTCCACAAAATGGGAAGATTCTTTAACGCCTGATCGGTGCCTCAGGGAATCGCCCTGGGAGCCCTTAGGGTTAGCAGGCCCTCCCGGGGGCAGGGAACCCGTTGCCCAGCCCTCCCCGAACGCACGGGCTGCTGGGGAAGACGGCGGCCAACCTGCTGCATGATGTGCGTGATGGCGCCCGTGGAAGACGCTGGGATGGACTTCACCACGACGGACGTCTGTGTCGCCGTCTGCGACTGGGCCACGTGCTGCAGCAGGGTCCGCTGGGGCTGCGAGGGCTGCTGGTGGGGCTGCGAGCGGTGGCTGACTGCGAGGAGGAAGCGGGAGAGGGGGGTGGTCAGCGGGAGCGTCTGGGGAGGCCGCGCCGACTGCAAAGCCCACCTGCGTGGCTGGACTCCCACGGAGCAGGGGCACGAGAAACAGGCACCGCTGCCTGCTCGCTTCAGTGCGGGGCGGATCTGCTGCATTTTGCGGGGAACAGGGAGGAGGATGCCATACGAAGCGCCAGAACTTGGGGTTCCTCATGAGTTCCAGGGGCTTGGGGGCGGGGGGGAGAGGAGGCGGGCCTTGTGCATGCTGCAAGTGCACCCCGAGTTCAGTACTTCAGCTTCACCCTGCAGTAATGAAGGCCACTCTCTCTCGGCCTCCCTTCGCCCCTTTGGGAAAAAGGAGTCAGGAGTTGCGCTTGGTCACCTGCCCTTGCACACTTCAGCAGCCCCCATCTGCAAAAGCGCCGAGGTGCCAGGGATGCCTGCTGTCCACGCTGCACGTGGCCCTGGCCACATTCGACAGGTCCGACAACAAAGATGCACTCGGATCACCTCTTGCAAACGCACACTTTGCAGACTGTCACTGCAGCTAAAGGGGCCTGATTTTGGTTTGTCTCGAGAATCGGATGCCGCTAAAGCCACGGCGCAAGTGGAATTTTGTTCTCAGGCACAGGACCAGCAGTTTCTGAGGTCCAGCATAACCCCCACAGAAACTCAAAAATACCCTGGTCTTGACAGCGAGCCTATAAAGGAGGCAGGAACTTCGTCAAAGTGCAATTTGCTAGGCTGCAACGCTGAGCAAAAATGAAACATGTGAACAGTCAAGGTTGGAAGCGGTCTGTAACCTATTCTGGAAAACCCAGCAGGCTGATGGAGATCTGGCAGGAATTATCCACAAATTCACTTTCTCAGGCAAAGGGCCAAAGAACCCCCACAATTATGGGCAGGTTTGCACAGGAGTTTCTGAACAAGCTTGTCTGTGGCCAGAGGCCTCCTGGAGACGCTCCGTTCTGACTGCTGCTCTAGCCTTCTTCCAGACACATCTTGCTGCCTCTGCTTCCTGGCTTGCCCACCGGCCTCTTTTTACGAAGGCACAGTAATTAGCAGTGACAATCACCTCCTTCTTCTCCCTGCTGCCACAGGAAGGCTGAGATGAAGTCCTCATGGGTGCCAGTAGCAGCTGTCAGAACCAGCGGCCAATATAATCATCCAGAGCTTTCAGCTCACACAGAGCATCCCCTGTACGTGCTCTGCGAGGCAACTTTTCTGATGCAAAAACGGTAACAACATACTGATCCCAGGCAACAGCATTCATTTCTGATTGGAAAAAAGATGTTCTGCCAGGCATCCTGGTAACTTCCAATATTCTCTACATTTTTTTTTTAAAAAATGCCTTTTAGAAATAAAACATCTAACCTATGTGGTTTTGGAGATATTCTTCCGAATGTGAAGGAATACAGTGCTGTCTTCCTGAGTCTGCAGATAGACAAAAACGTTAGAGCTAAGAGAAGAGGCAAGTTGCTTTACTCAACTTCAGCCAGTGTTAGCTCTAAAACAAAACCAAATATCCCCTCTGATCCCCTGGCTAGGCACTTGTGCCTTCTTGCTCTCTGCACATGTACAAAAGTTCAGAGAAGAAAATTAGACCCGTGACTTGAACTTCATACAGGAGGGGAAAACATGCAAATTTGCCCTGAGGAACGAGGCCCAGCTCTTCACAGCCGCAACCAGGTACCCTGGAAAGGTCAACGAGGGGAGGAAAGGCAGAGGACCCACTGAGCTTTCTCCCCAGCGACTTGAGGCTCAAAGATATGGGGTACGGCAGACACGTGCGCAGATTTCCTGGTTGTAAAACTGCAATGAGAATTGTGACATACACAGAAGGGTCTCAGATTGTGCCTGGAGTGGCAGGAATGGGGAAAGAGCGTTTCACCATTGCTGCTCTCCTAGCCACCCTCTTCGATTCGCTGTCTGCCCTGCGTATGATCATGGGGGGTGGGGGGGGGGCATTCAAGAACTGCTGCCTGCATTCACCCTCATGGGGCCGACAAGAGCACCAGCATGACGTGGTGGTGAGAGAGTCAGACTGGGGACTGCAAGATCCAGGGAACTCCCTGGCGACCCTTGGGAGTCGCCGACTCTCAGGGTGGCGGTTGTGAGGAGAAAATGGGAGGCAGAGGATTGGGCAAGTACAAGAGGATTGGTGGGATGCACGTGCACTGAAATAAAATAAGTTAAATAATAAGAACAGAGCTGTGCATTCAACTAGGAAGGCAGCATAAGGCTAAATGTCTTTGGCTGCTGCTGAGCTAAAATGTACCAAGAGAATGAAATGAGGGCCAATGGCAGAACTCCTGCAGCCCAGTGCTGGGGTCTGGTACCCCTTCCCTCAGAGCGCCAAGGTCTTAGCAGTGGCTGAAAGGCCTGCTCTTCGAGATGTGGCCTCTCCTCTCCTCTAGGTCCACACCAGCCTTTTCCGCGCTACGTCTGCAGCAGAATGAGGTGCAGGCGCCCTTCGTGGGCTGGCCACGTTCCTGCATTTGCTCTCCCAAGCTGGTGAGCGGCAGACTTGCCCCTCGGGGCTCCAGCAAAGGGAGGAAACCCGCATAGTTGCGGGCGGTCTGGGGAGGAACACCGAGGTGCCAGCCCACGACACGCTGGGAGTTGCTTGTTTAGGAGAGCAAACGCAAGAAGGTGGCTCCCCGTCTGCAATCTGAAATGGAACAGCCCCTTCTTCCATCCCTGGCTAGCTGCCTTGGCCTTCTCTTTTAAGTTGGGTATACACTGCATAGTGCAGTATTTTGTCTGTTCTAAACATGCCCGGCTAGGATGAAGAAAGCACGGTATCCGTTCATTATCTCCATACAAGAGGATGTACATATACAATTCTAGGGGGCCGTGGCTGAACACATGAGGCTGTCCTTCCCTGGGTGCCCCTTTCTGGCAGCCTTGGCACAGGCCAAGGTTGTGCCTTGCCACTTCCTGGCCCACCCATGTTTTAGCGGTTTTCCAAGAGATGGAAAACTACGATCTGCAAACAAGGAGTGTGGGTGAACTCGGCCAACAGCACAATAACGCAAAAGCAACCAGCCAAGTTGTCACTGCACGGCCCTTTCAGCAACAGAGTCGGGTCCTCAGCACTGATGCCAGACACAGAGCAGCACTGAAAGGTGGCAGGCAAATTGAAATCGAGAGGAAAGGGGTGGGGAGAAAAACACGAGGCACACCTGGATCAAGAAGGACGCAGCCTTCACCAAAGTAAAACAAGACTCATCCCGGTTTTGAAATCAATTTAACAATCCTGCTGAAAGGGTCAATGGAGGAGGGGCACTGGAGGGGCCCTGCAGGCAGCTTGGCGGCCGAGCACACTGCACCCCAAAGGTTCGATCCCCACAGCGCCCAGCCAGAAAGAAGCAGCAGAGATGGAAAGTGCTTTGCCCAGGCCGCTGGAGCCTTTGCACAGCCAGCGCTCCAACTCAGAGGAATGCCACGGCATCTGCAAAATGAGCCTCTGTTCAGTCTTGACCCGACCTTCCAGGAGAATTATAGGAGACTGTCTTACATCACTGGTCCCAGTGTTGCCGATACTCGCCTTCTCTAATCTGGTGCCCTCTCCAGTTGTTTTGGACTACAATTCCCAGAGTCACTGCTGGCTGGGACCGATGCTGCAAATGCTAGAGGGTGACAGGTTGGAGAAAGCCAGCCTGCAGCTGCCCTTGGCTCTCCGGATGTTGCCAGAGGGCAGCTCTGATCATCCCTCCCCAGTGCTGGCTGGAGGTGACAGGAGCCGCAGGCTGGGAACCAAAGCTGGTAGGCCTGTCCGCACTGCCTGGCAGGAGCACTCCAGGGCTTCAGGCAGAAGGTATTCCCGGCAGGAGGCAGCAGAGCTTGACCTGGGACCCCTCGCAAGCAGAGCACGTCTAACGCAGCGGCTGGCCCACTTCCACCCAAACCTGCATCCAAGACCAGCTGCAGCCTCTTTCAGCAGGGGATGCTGGGGAAGAAAAACCGCACGGCCACTCAAGCGGGAGACACACTTCTCAAGCACCGGGGCCCACGCTCTCAGCGACGGCCTGGGGGAACCTGTTTTGCGCAACGCACTGCCACTCCAGGGGGCGTGGGGAGGATGCGGCCGGGAGAAAAGCAGAGCGCCCTGCCTGGCCCGGCCTCCTTCTGAGCATTTTACCTGCAATCTTCACAGACAGGCTAGGGCAGGTACCATTAGATCCGGAGGAGGAGGAACAGAGAGGCCTTCACAGCACCAAAATGCCGCTGGAGGGCCAGAGAAGCTGGGCTCTGAGGCTACTGAGGAGGCAGCTGAAGCCCTGCTGTGCTTTTCCGAGAAATGGTTTGTGGGAACAGAGCAGCAAAAAGAGGCACTCTGCACACACTCAGAAGCATGGTTAACACGTACACAGGTCGGAATGCCCTTGGACACAGCCCCAGTTCAATTCAAGGACTGACTATTCCCTTCGTTCTTGCCCAGAACGGGACCTTGTTTCCTCCCAGGAACTGATGAGGTCAAGTGCAAGATTATCGGGAGGAACCTTGCAGGATCGGGCCGCAGGGCCTTCCGGGCCTGCCTGCTGTTCCCTCAAGCACCCGCCAGATGCACCCAGGAAGCCCCTGCGTGGGACACCAGGGCCACAGCCCTGCCCCATTGCGGTCCCCGAGAAGGGCATTTGCTCTCATGGGTTCCAACAGGTTGCAGTGGCTGAGCGCCATGGAGAGTTCTTTCCTCCATGAATTCTACCCGAGCCCTTTCCAAGCCAGTTGAACCCAGGGGACATGGCCACATCCTGTGGCAGACATGCCATACCTTTCTGTGCTGTGAAAATACTCTACTCCCCCCCCAAATCGTCCCGCCCAGTTCACAGTTCTACACACCTCTCCCGATGGCCTGCACCCTCTCTGCTGGGCCCCCTTCTCCCTCTGCTTCTCTGGACATCTTCAGGAACTAACCCAAAGCCTCTTGGTATTTGTTAGGCCAAAACAAAGGAGGAGGAACAAGCAGGGCTCTCTTCTCTTACAGAATGAATCAGTTCCCCCGGAATTTGCCAGCATCATTCTGGACGCTGGGGGAAGAGACAGACGAGACGCTTCACTGGATCAAGGCATGTGGGTCCGTCTCCCCTTCCATGTGCTGGACCCTTAAATCCCAAGACGGCTTCCTCGGCAAAGCGCTCACATGCACGCACCCCATCCCACCACGGGACTTACCAGTGGTGATGTATTCCGCCACGAGCTCTGACTCCACCATGGCGATCGACGGGCTTTCTGGGGAGTGCCGCTTCTCCTGGGCCATCTGGATTGGGACGGCCATTTGGCTCAGGTCTATCGTTGGCTGCCTTGGCTTGGCTTCCAATTTCTCCTTTACTGCTCCAGCAAAAGGGAAGGGAAGGAAAGGGGAGAGGAGAGAGAGTGGATATTTTATTTTCTCAAGGTCTCTCAAGCACCGAATTGGAAGGAATCTCAAGCGTCATCTAGGCCAACTTGCCGCTGGTGCATGAGACCCAGTGCCCCAGTATCGCCAGCGATGTATCTCTATGGAGCTCTGTGACCTTGTGGCCCCAGCTTAAAAAACCTCCAGAGAAGGGGAGTCACCACCTCCGCTCCAGCACTGAGCAGCTCATGCCCAGAGGTGTGCTGGCAAATGCGGAAACACAGGTGCTCACTGCAGCAATCCCCCCAGCCAGGAGCCCGAGGAGGACACAAAACTGCAGGCGGCTGCATTGATCCACACTGGCAAACCACCCTGCTCTGTCACCCACAGCAGCAGGTACTACGTAAAGCCACCCCCCCCCAAAAAAATTTACATTGTGCCTATGATGGGCATGTATAGCACTTATATTTTTACTGAAAGTGTTTCTAGCTGTTTACATGGTTTTAGATTTTGAATACTGCAATTTTAAGCAGCGTTTTATTATCTGTATTGGTTGCTTTATGATTTTATGAACAACTGCAAACTCCGGTTCTTTGATGGTACGGAATCGAAGAAATGTCTTCCTTCCTTTCATTTTGTGTAGGCCCATAGCAGAAGCTCTCTGGGTAGCTGAAAGGACTCGGAATCACAGAACAGAGAGGAAACTCAAAAGTCATCCAGGCCAACTCACTGCTGTGCTATAAATAATTATAATAATGCATTCCAACAGGGAGCAACATACTGCGCTGGGAAAATTAATCTGAACAGAGTGCAGGTTTGCAGAGGGAACAGGGAATTCCCAGCGGGTGAAAGAAGAAGGCTGCATCCCTGCCAATGAAGAGGGGCTCCTTCTCCGGTTTCATCAAAATCCTATTCCTGAACCTGTTCTTCTGAGCTTGCTCTATGTTTCCCGCGCAGCTCTTCAAACATTCAAAGAGGGCTACAGTAGCATCGTTTAATCATTTCCCTCTTCAGGCAAAAATGACCCAGCTCTGGCTCAAGACCAAGCCTAAGCACGTGGTGCAACAGGTCACCCTACAACCAGACTGCACTGCGCAACAAAAATAAGCGCACCTGGGCAGAACCCGAGTGCTGGCGGGCTACTTATGGCACAGCCACAGGTAAGGCTGACCGGGCAGGCCACTCGTTTTTCCTTCTGTTAGGTCTTAATCTGTGGCGTCTCCTGAAAAGGAAGTTGAAAGGGGATTTTCATTGGACAGCTTTATAAGAAGTCGCGATTCACTGGCTTCAGATCCTAAAGAGAACTGAATTGGGGAGGTTAGAATGCCCAACAACATTCAAAGCCCACCTGGATGTTTTCTGCTACCAAAATATGAAGGAAAATGCAGGTGAGTTTATACGAGGCAGATGGGAGAGAGCCGGTTGAAGTGTGAGGATCCAAACCGCCCACCTGCTGTCTGCTGGAGCTCCAGTAACGCCTTGATCGTCGAGGTGGCCGACTGGGATTCACTGGAGACATCCTGGTAGATTAGGGTGGGGCTGGAGTCCACAGCAATCTCATGCTCAGACCAGTCCTGGCTTCGGGACGCAATGACATGAACCACAGGCTGGGAATCTGAAAACACAGGAGAGCACGGTATTGCCAGTCAATCCACTGTGTCCCAAACCACAGCTCTGTGCAACTCGGAAATTATTTATGCCTCACTTCATTTCCACGTGCTTTTGCACCACCCAAAAGCCAAAGTTCTCCAGGCCATTTACAAAGAGTCATTTATTGTACAGTAATGTACATTACCGTAACATGACGTAAATCCTATTTACACACACGCACAGAGTCTCTGCTCTCCGATCAGGACAACAGGTATGTCAACTCTCTGCCGTATTTGCATTCTCCTATGAGCATGAGCTGGGGCAAAAGGAAGCCGATGGAAAGGCTGTTTCTCCGCAAACAGGCCCTGGTTCGGGAGTCCAGGGGCTGGTGGTGCCCTCTGCCCCCTCATCGTGGACAAGCACACAGAAGCAATCGTTCCTCCCAGCCCCACTTCCTCAGGCGGATCTATACGGCTCAGCTGAAAGGAGGTGTTTTTCTGGCCCAGCTGTAAGACAGGTTCCCCTGCTCAGAGGAAAGGGCTCGCCTCTCGTCTGTGGCAGGCCAGAGGTGAGCCTTTTCCCCTCCCGCAGTGCTGGGGCGACAGGAAGTGCTGCGACCTGCGGAAGCAGCTCAACAGGGTGGATGGAAACGCCCCGGAGGCTGTGGAAAGGGGCTTCCTCGTGCTCATAAGCAACGGCAAGCCCTGGCGCTGACATCATGAGCACAGTGCAGCAGGAACTTTCAGAAAACATTGTACATAAATAGCAACACGAAGGAAACAGGGTATCCGGCATTCATGGGCTAGTGATGGCTGGGGACAAGTGCCACCGGGCATGACCTGAGAGGGGCAACTTAGCTCAGGCCGACCTCAGGGCGGGCAGAAGCACACTTCCAAGGGGCAACACACATGTAGGGAATGGTGGCATTTCCTAAGAATTGCATTCATGCGCTTGTTTACATGTGTGGTTATGAACGGGAACGAAACCCACATTAAGTCCCTGGCCTGAGTCATCAGACACTGGATGCAACTCCCAACGCCACAACTCTTTAGAGGTGACCACCTGCATAGCCCTGAGGGGAACCCAGCAGCCTTCCTCAAATACCTGAGAGCAGAGTGGAGGAGGCAGAATACTTGGGAAGCCAGATTCTAACTGAGCATCAGGAAAATCTCCCTGATTGTTGAAGTAGTCCAACAATGGAAGCAGCGGCCTCGGAGGTGGGGGATTCTCCCGCCCTGGGAGCACTCCAGAGCCATCTGTCGGGGATGCTTTACCCGGAAGTCCTGCACTGAGCCGAGGGTTGGACCCAATGGCCTTAATAAGCCCTTCCAACTCTACTCTTCTCCGATCCAGTCCAAGGCACTGCCGCCCATTCATCCCCTGACCATGTGCGGCTGCGTGAGTGAGCGCGCCAGGAGTGCCGCGGGGCGTGGGAAACTGGCGGCCCACCCGATGGTGCTGGACGACAACTGCTACCACTCCCAACCCAATGGGCTTGCTGGCTGGGGCTGATGGGAGCTGGCATCCAACATTTGGGGGATCATGGGCTCCCTACTCCTGGATAAAGTAAGGTGTTAAAAGTCAGTGGGGTGTGGTAGTTGGACGGGGGGCTTGGGAGATTTGTGTTCCAGTCCCCGCTTGGCCATGAAACTCTCTGGGTAACTTTGGGCCAGTCAGACTCTCAGCCTGACCTACTTCCTACCTCACAGTGTTGTTGTGCGGATGAAATGGAGCTCTGAACGCTGCCTCAGGTTCCTCAGAAGAGGAAAAATAGTGGAACATGAACGCAATGTAATAGCAATAAAACAAAGAGACAAGACAGGCCAGCTTTTTTTCCTGCTGAAACGCAATGCTGGAAACAAACCGCAGCTGGTTCGTGCTGATGCCTTTCCTCCCACGGCCAGGCAGAATGGGAGGGAGGCGAGGCGGCCGCTCCCCTGGAGGCATCCAGCAGGCCTGTTCAGGGGCCCTCGTCCACCTGGCTCAGGCCAGCGCCTTCCCAGAGAGAGCCAGAGACCCGCCTTGCAGCACCCGGCAAAGCCGGTCAGCTGGGAAGCGCCACCCCCGCCACGGGACTCCAGGGAGCGCGAGGCAAGCTTCACCTTGAGAGCCCTGGGAGGACTCCGTGGAAGAGGAGCTGCTGTCCAGGTAGGCCTGGGGCTCTTCCTTCACCTCGGGCAGCAGAGCGTTGCCCGTCTCCACCACCCGCGACGCCTGCTGCAGCGTCTCCGTCACCAGCTGCCGCGTCTGCTCACTCACCACCGTGGCCTGGAAGGTCACCGGCTTTGGCTTGATGAGGACCTGAACGGAAAAGAGGAACGGGTGTTGTTGGGAGGTTCACGAGCAGAAGCCACATTCAGAAGTGCTGTAGCCTGGGCTCTCCCTTCACAGACTCCATCAGAAAAGCTCTGCTCGACTGGACCGAGGGGCCGCCTAGTCCTGCATCCCACCCCCGTGGGGGCCAAGCGGTGCCTCCTGCAGGCCTCTCCCGCTCTGGCGCTCTGGCGGCTGGCACCTGGGAGGGAGGCACCCTGCCTCTGAAGCCGGTGGGCACCTGCAGCCAGCACAACCCAAACCCTTATCCGTTAGCTTGCTTGGCGCCCCTTGAGGGAGACCTGCGATCTTGTGGCGCTGAGCCAGTCCCTCTGCAGCGCGGCAGGGAAGGAGGAAAAGCCCAGCCGCCAGCCTGCCTCGCCCTTCCCCACCCACAGGCAGCCCTGATGGAGCGGGCAAGAGCAGAGGCAGGCAAGCTGACGCCATCCAGGTATCTTGGACTACAACTCCCATGACTGCGATCGAATGGCCATGCCGGATGCGGCCGGAGGGGACTGTCCTCCAGACTTCTTGGGGGGCACCAAGCTGCCTGCTTGGGGGGGAAGACACCATTTTGGCAGCAATTCTCTCTGGCTTTCCTAACTGGATTCTCAGCCCCGTTGCTCCTTGTGGCCCGCCCTTCCTTCCTTCCGAGTCCTTCCTCCACCTTCCTCCGAGCAGCCTTCCAAACCTTGCTGTTGCTGGCCTTGGCCCCCAACTCCCCCCTACCCCAGCCAACAAGGCCGACAGTACAGCACGCTGGGTATTCCAATCCTAGATGTCAGAGAGCCACAAGAAGCGCAAGGCGGCTTGAGAGCTTGTTAGGTTAATGCTCCTAACAAACGGAGCCAGCACGCCGGGGCTTGCAATGGCGTTAAGCCCCACCAAGCAGGAACGGGCCTACTGCTCGCTGAACGTGCGCGTCGCTTCAACCGACTTCCCGGCCAAACAAAGCCTCCCCTCCCCACAGCTCACGTTCCTCGAACACAGTCGAGAAGAACACTTAGCACAACCGCACGGATCTAGTGGCCGTGGAGAAATGTGCAATTCTACCATGGCCAGTGCACAGTGTGCCCTGAGGCGGGGCGGGGCGGGGGGCAGGGAGAGCAAAGAGACCCCTTAAAAGACACCTCTTGGGCCAAGGTATGGCAAGGTGCTCCCACATCTGGGCTGCTCCAGGCAGGCAGAGCGCCACTCATGGCAGTCCCATGGCGTGGGGGGCATCCCTTAAACCATCCCTTCCTCCATTCCCGCATTTTCTATCCCTCTTTGCCACCCAAAAATCCGGCTTAAGGAAGCTAACACGGAAATGTGGATTAAAAACAACACGCCCAACATAAGCAAACTAAAGATGCAGCTTAAAAACAAAGCACCTGACGGATTTAAAAACAGCAACCACCACCCTGTATCCACCGGCCAGTTTATACGGCTATGGCCTGCCTGGGTACACACTTCTTTCCCTGCTGCTGGAAAGAAGGACGGCAGAGGAGAGGGCGCCCTTGCCTCCTTTGGCGACGGCTTCAAAGCCTGGAATAAGCAGGACTACGACCTGCAGGATATCTGGAATACTGTGAGGTCAAGCTCGGGCTTGCACACAACACTTGCCCGCTCACACCCTGGTTCATGGTAGTCCGAAAAGCTTTTAAGGATTAAATTGCAAAATTTGGAGGAAAAACAGAGAAAAGCTGATCGGTGCCAACGCTGTGCCTTTATAGGGAGACAGAGATGTGCTGAATTTAAACTGGGGATTTCGATACAGGTTCTGGATAGAGCATTTGTTCCCATGCAATTCCTTACAGAAAACCCAGAAGATATGATGCAACACTGTTTTGCCAATATTTTCTTCTCAAACATGTATCAGTAAGCTTGTTTTATTTATATATATATTCATATATTTATAATAATTCATATATATATATATATATATGAATTAAATTCCACCACCATTTCAAACTGCCCTCAAGTAAGACATATAAATACAAGAGAGGATGAATTCTTGATCTTCTGCAAAATATCCAAGCAGGGTGCGCGGGCGACGCTTTTCCCCTCTTCCCGAGCCTGAGGACCTGCCATGAAAAAAGCTCTTAACCATACCTGCGTTTTTCCTTGCTGCCCGTACACAATTTTGGTCGGAATGATTTTGGTGGCTGGCTGGACGGCAGACCCAATCCCCTTTGGCTGAGTGACAATCATTTTGGTGATGGGCCGGGTGGCAGTGATGATGGCCGGTTTTGCTCCAGCTGGCACTGCTTGGATGGTTTTCTCTCCCTGAAGACAAGGTTGGTAGAGCACTTTTAAGGATGATTCAGTCTCAAAGCAAACTAGCCCAGAAAGGGAAGCTATGCATCATGTGGCTTGGCTCACTTGCTTGAGCCACCTGAGACCATCCGCTCGGCAGGCCTCTTTCTGATGTTCACCTGTCTGGAGCCCCCTCACCTCACCAGACCATATGGTGAGCACTGTACCACTCAAATGCTCCAAAGGAGAAAGGAGTCAAATACACCCAACATTAAAAAGGAGTATCAATTCTTGAAGATCTGCCAGTGTTGGTTTCATCTCTATACCGTCATACGGTCTCTTCTTTTTCCAGCGCCAGGTGAAGACCTTTTTATTTAACCATAATTTTAATAATTAATATCACTAATTTAATAATAGCATTAATTGTATACAGCCATGTCTTCATTTTATTTCCTTTCTTCTTTCTTGTTTTTAGTTATGAAATGTCATTGTGATTTTTATTGCTGAATGCTTTTAATGATATTTATACTACTATACTGCTATTTATATTGTTATTTTTATCTTCTGTAAGCCATCCTGAGGCTGCTGTAAAGGCCAGCATATAAAGCTTTAAATTAAATTAAATTAAATTAAATTAAATTAAACAATTTCCAGTAAGGGGTGGCCTTGCAGAAATCATCACCATCATCATCATCATCACCACTTACGCCTGCATTCAGCAATGTTGTGACCACATTTTTGCCTGGAAGACCTTGAATGGTGGTGCCTTTTCCAGTCGTCTTTTGCACGACGATCACGTTGGGCTTGGACGTCACGGGGATCGTGGTGATTTTGGTGGTCGTTCCTGGCGGCAGGGAGAGAGGGACGGAAAGGGGGCTGAAGCAGGAGTGACAGTGCGCCGCTGCAACCCTGGCTTCCACGGGGCATTTCCATTTTACCGGGATCCCTTATGGGGCACCGCCCCTGAGAGAACACTGGCCCCCGTGCAGGCCTCTTCTCCCGGTGTGGGAGCGGTGAAGTGCATCTGATGTGGATCATGAGCCACAACCACTGTGATGGGCACAAGAACGCAACTGGGCAAGGAGGTACCACTGCAAGCATCCACACTGCAGAGGGGGGGAGTTCAGCTAGAATCTGGCTGCCGCCTGCAAGCACATCAGCTTTGACTGTCACCAGAAAAAAGCAACTAAATGAATTAACTTTCAGCCTAAGGGGATCCCCTTCCTCACCTGTAGGGTGAGATCAGAGTTAAAAAGAGAAGTCCCAAGTGACTCGGGAAAGGCTGTGATTTAGAGCCATGGGAGAAACGTGGGCAAAACCGCAGGGAGAGCAGGGAGAGGGGGTGTTCCTGGAGGAATACATGCAAGAATTGCAAGAGCAGTGCAAGCTTTGGATACCTTTTTGTTGGAAATAGGTCTTCATCAAGGAGTTACCTTTAAAAAATGAAAATAAAACAGTTTGGTCTACACATGGTGGTACATGCTTCGAAAATTGCCAGTTTATGGCGGGGAAGGATGCTTTTACTAAGCACATATGTGCAGTCAGAGGTGGCACATCAGAGAGCAGGACTCGTCTCATTCTCCACCTGGACAGAGAAAAGGCCCCGGTGCCCCTTCGGTCCAGCTCGCTTCCCCGCCAGGTCCACTGTTCACGTGCGCAGGACCCTTCCTTGCCATTCCAGGACCACCAACCCACAGCACGCCGTACTCTGACCTGCCCCTCCACCCTGGCCCTGCACTGCCATCATACAACCCACGCCCGGCCAGCCGCCCCGTGTCAGCCGCAGCTGCCTAGGCACGTGGGCAGAACAGAGGCTCACGCTGGCAGCACAAGCAAAGCGATGGTGCAGAAGTGCCCCTGTGCAGCACCAGTGGATACCAGAAACGCTCGGGGCAGCTTCTCGCGCGATCACAAGTTGCTTGCAAACTGGAATCCTTGCCCACAGTTTAATCCTGGTTTATTGCTAAGCAGAAGCGCCTGTTCTCCACTCCTCAGAGGGAAGAGAGAAGGGAGGGCAAACATCTCACAACTGCTTTTGCAACTAGATCTGAATGCAGCAATCACAAAGGGGGATTCGCAGCCTGATGGCTGTCCACACGCCTCTAGAAACAATGGAAGACTTTCTGACCCGGGCAGATTTCCAACAGCCAAGACCTGACTTTTTATAGCAGGGATGCACAGCTTCTGGCCTTTCAAATGCGCTGCCCTGCAACTATGACCCCTCACCACTGGCTATGCCAGCCCAGGGGGGTCCGAACGGCAGCCAGAACTCCTGAAAGGCCCATCAATTGTCCACATCTGTACAGGTTTTAGCAGGTTTGCATTTATCTCTAATGTTGTGCTTTCCCTCTGAACTGTAACCCACCCCAAACTTGTCACAGGGCAGCATATGTAAATAAGTCCTTAAGTAATTCTGAGAAACTCTGCGCAGAAAAGGGATTGCATCACTTTTCCCACTGAGCAGTTTGCAAACTTCTGTAGGTTTTCAAGCTCAGAAGTTGTGGAGAGAAGGATTCCAAGATTCCTGATTTCTCATCAGTGTAGGGACTTGGCACATATCGAAGGAAACATTCCTTGAATCCTGGGAACCAACATCCCAGCCATCTTACTGGACTAGCTATCGGTGATACCAAAAGCTTTATGCACATTTTCACACTGCAGTCTTTAGACTCCCCCGGCAAGGTAGGTCAGCATGATGACTCGCCACACTGGAGATGGAGAGTTGCCCTAACGACAGGCAGTCTTGCCTCAGATCTGAACTGGGGACTTCTTTTCGCCAGTTGGACTGCCTCCCCAAGGCCTTGCAAGCTGCTGCTGTGCTCGTACCCCACCAATCCCGGATATACAGAGACTCCTAAGAGGAGATGCCATTCATACAATGCCAGAATGGGAACAGGAGCGCCAGCTGAGGCCCCCGTGACTCCACCATCCCTGCCCGCAGCTGCCTTCTCTGAGAGATGCCCCAGCCCACCTACCAGACACGATGTTGCTGCTGATGATCTTGCCCCCCAGCGTGGCAAGTGATTTGGGTACAACCGTGATGATGCTGCCACTGGTGGTCTTCACGTAAGTGGCTGCACCGGGAGTGCCGGTCACGCGTGTCCCGATGGAGGGGCTTACTGTTGGACGAGTGTATGTTGCTTGAGTCCCTGTTTTGGGAAGGGACAGGGAAAGAGAGACAGAGAGAGAGAAAGAACGGTCAGGTAACAGCATACCGAAGCATTGAACACCAGTGGGAGAGGGCCATCTCCCTCTCCCTCTCTCTCCCTCTCCCTCTCCCTCTCCCTCTCCCTCTCTCTCTCTCTCTCTCTCACACACACACACACACACACACACACACACACACACACACACAGTGTTCAGGCAATCTTATATTCTCCAGCCAGTTCCTGCAGATACAGAGAGGTGTGAAGGGCAGCATCTGATCATGGGAGACTTCAGGCAAGAGGTCACACGTCTCACGGCCCCTACGTGCAGACGCAGAAACCAAGCTGTCGGAAAGTGAGCGCGCCAGGGAGACGATGAGGTGCCAGCCTCTCTCTCCAACAAGCCAATTTTGCAGAGCTGGGGGAACTCCGCATCCCCTACACGCAGGGCATCTGGGAGAGCTTTACTCACAGGGTTGCCAGTCAGAGACAACATGGCGGCACACCACCACAACAAGTGCTCGAGAGGGGCGATGGCTGGCTGCACAGCATCCCGCAGCTCCACTATTCCAGGGCTCATTTCCTGGGCAAAGGACTCCCCCCCCCACCACCACCACCACCACGGGGGGACAAAGCCTTGCTTACCAGCAGGAGCCGTAACCAGCTTGGTCGTCATGATGGTCCCGTTACTGCTTACCACCATGATGGGGGAATTGCTGCTGCTGGGCAAGGTGGCCGTGACCGGCTTGGGCAGGATTTTGCTGGGCTGGACTTGCTGAGTGATTATTTTGACACCTAGGAGAGAGGCAGTACGGGGTAGAGAGGAGGCCATGAGAACCGAGGACGGAAAGGAAAGGGCTGCAGGGAGACCGACAGGCACAGCGCCGTCCGAAGCGCAGTTCCCGGGAGAAGCTTTGCTCTGCAGAAGGCTCCGAGTGTGGCTTTGAGCCACAGCACAATCCAAGCTCCATCAGCAGATCAACAGACACACAGGGGAGGTCAGTGGGGCTCCTTATTCATGGCAGCTTTTGCTTTGAGCTTCGCAGGCACTATCCATGGTCCCGAGTTCAGTGGCCTATACGGCCATTCCAGAGCTCAGAGCAGATGCTGCAATGCGTGAAGAGCTCGCCCATCTCCCCTGCGAGGGGCGCACCGCACGGAGCCAGCAGCTAGGCCATCGCTAGAACAAACAGCACACTAGACTGGCACTGGGCAACGCACCCCCCCTTCCCTCTTCCCCCCCTGCCCTTTCCCCTCTCCCTCTCCTCCCATGCAGGAAGCTGCCACAAAAGCTGCAGGAAGCGCACGCGGTGCGAATTAACTGCGCACAAATAGCTTCCGCAACCAGGCCGAGCGCTGGACGTGGCCTCTGGACCCCCGACCGTCCTCCCCTGCTCTGCGTGGGCTGTGGGCTAGCACGGCACGTCCCTTCAGCAACTTTGCCAGTGGGCAAATGCCCACCTGCCGCTTTGCTTACGCACGAAGCGGCTCTGTTACCCGAGTCCCGCTGAAAGGGCAGCACAGTGGAGAAGGGGGTTCTGTGTCTCAGGGAAGCAGGTGGCCGGGACCAAGAAACCACTGGGGTTTGCAAAGTTGGTTTCCCAGGCAGTAGGGAAAGTCCAAAATCCACCCCCCACCCCCCAGTCAAAACATGCCAGACCATGTAAGAGGTCCCATGTTCAGTCCAGGCAGGGCCAGGAAATGCAGCTCCCCGAAATCCTGGGGACGCACAACCAGGCAGCATCAGCAAGGCAGGACTAGCTAGGCCAATGGTCTGACTCGGTACAAGGCAGCCCCTTGGTTCCCAAGCTGAGCCCAACAGAACCTCCACTGCGACGGGACACCCTGCCAGAGACGCACCACCAGCCAGGCAGGATGCGCCCACATGCGTGCCTCAAAAGGAACACCTGTGCGCACTTTGGGTCCTAAAAAGATGGCCCCCCCAGAGGCCATCCTGAAGTCACACACACGGCCCTGCTGGGGATGGAGAAACACAGGCACCCCCTCCACTGGTTTCTCGGGAGAACACGGCCTTGGGAGGAGATGGCCCCTGCCTGAGACCGCGGCTACGAACCACCAAGGGAGGCAAGGCGCAGGCTGGCCCGCCTTCAAGCCGCCAAAGGCCAGCGGCCACGGCCACAGCCCACCGCAGAGAAGTGCGTGAGCTGCACACCGGAAGCGGAAGAGCCCGTGCTGCCAGTCTGTCCTAAATCTGCCAGCCAGCCACGCCACCGAGCGACGGGCTACGCCCATTTGCTCGCCACCCCGGGCCCCGTGACCGAGCTCGGCGTTCTGCGATCCACTTAGCCGTACCTGACTCCTGCTTGATCTGGATGGTGGGCTTGATGCCAGGCGGCAGGGGAGACGGCTGCGAGGGCGGGGGCGGCGGCGGCGGCTGGGTGACCGGCAAGGCCTGGGCGGGCGGCTGCTGGGGCTGCGGCTGCTGCGCCGGCTGCTGCTTGGGGAGCTGCGCGAGGAGCTGGGTCGGCGTCCCCACCAGGCTCTTGGGGGAAGGCAGCCTGGCCGACGCGACTTTAATGGCCGACGTGCAGACGCCTGGAAGAGGAGAGGCAGGCAGAGGATCGGAGGCGCTCTTCTCATTGCGCTGCTTTTGCATCTCACCCTTTGCCCTCTAGGAACCCAGGCAGCTTCCACTGCTCCGTTCCGTCCCTACAACAACCCTGCGAGTGGGCCAGGCTAAGACTGCTACGAGCAACTCTGCTGTGAGGCGAGGTTACAAGGTCTGGGGCCCTTCGGCTCAGAGAAACAGAGGCTGAGCTGGAGATACAGGGCACCGATGAATAAAGCTAAGTATTGTGGGCAGAAAGCAGGCTGGAAGAAAAGCTCTCTCGGAATACTAGGACCCAACGGGTCACCCCATAGAGCTGAATACTGGGAAATTCAGGAGGAAGCGCGTAGTGAAAACAACGGAGTGTGCTATCACCCCTTGGAAGGCCCGAAAAGGCAATCATGGAGGACAGGCGATGAGTTCTCCTTCTCCTAACTGCCATCCATGGCCTCCACCAGCAAAGGCTGAGCAGGCCAGGTGCTGTGGGAAATGACTGGGGGGAAGCAACTCAAACGGTCAAGAGACCAAGCAGCTCCGCTGTGAGGAAAGGCCGTGACATTCGAGGTGGTCCAGCCCACGAGAACGAGGGGCAGGTGCAGACACAGGGACGTGCCTCGCAGGGCGGTGCTTGCGAGGCGAAGATGGAGAGGAGAAAGAGAATCCTGCAAGTGCCTTGACAAGGAAAAAAGGCAGGATATAAATAGAGAGGTGCCCGGTGTAGAGAAAGCAGCAAGGGAGGCATTTTCCCCACTTTCTCAAAGTCCTGGAACCCAACAGGGTCCACCCGTGAAGCTGATGGGTAGGAGGGTCAAGACAGGTCAAAGGAAATCCTCCTTCACTCAGCGCAGGCTAAAGCTATGGAACTCATTTCCACAAGATGCAGTGATGTCACCCAACTGCCTTTTGGGGAGGGGGGCTGGCCAAATTCCGGGGGGGGGGGGGGGGAGACAGCTAGCTCTGGCTTCTAGTCCTGATGGCTCCACTGAAATTGGCCGTAGGACTTGCATGCCGGTCGCTGAAGAACGTGGGTGCAGAGCTGCTTGGCCAGTGTGCAAACCGGATGCAAAACTAGACGGGTCGCTGCCCAACCCAGGGTGCTGTGCCCGCGTTGCAGCGTTTTTCTTTACGAGAAAGATGCCCGAGAACAAAGCCAGGCCCTCCCACTGTGGGCTTTGAGCAGGTTGGCTTGGCTTCACTTGAGGGCCTGGGGACCAGATCGGCCCGTGGGCCATGGGTTCTCCATCCGTTTCCTCTATCCCATCGCAGGAGGGCGTCACTTTCAGGAAACGGCTCTCCGCTGAGCTGCCACCCTCCCGCAACCCCAAGGGGAGCCCGCATCTCACCCTGCGCCACCGTCGACATAACCACCGACGGCGTCGACGCCACCACGGTGGTCACAGCGACTGTGCTGGGGGTGGAGGAAGGCGTGGAGCAGCCCACGGCGGCAGTGGTGGCGGAGGTGGTGGTGGTGGCGGCGGTGGTGCTGCTGCTGACCAGAGAGGACTGGGAAGCAGTGATAACCACCGGCTGTTTCTGGGTGGTCGAGGCGATGACGGACGTTGGGACGAGTTTGGTGACAGCTGCGTAGTTGTGAGACTTGGACAGGATGTTGGGGACAAAGGTGGAACTGGGAGAGGTGGTTACGATGATCACCTGAAAAAGAACGGCGGTGAAAAGGTGCTGTTCTCGGCTATCCCTTGGACCAATTTTTGTGACCGTGCTGCAAAGGCACCCAAAATGTTTCCAAGCAAAGGCTTCCCAGCGGACTAAACAGAGGTGCCCTTCCAGAGCGAGGACAGTGCCGACCCGGGACCACTGCCTCACTCTGAACTGGCTTGTGGCCTGGTCACTCCAGCCCAGTCCAAGAGGTTAAGGGGTGTCCTAATGCTATTACGCTCGCTGCTGATCTGTGATTGGCTGGCATGGCCCATTTGCTAGGCTAACCTCTAAAATGGCTCTGCAGAATGAGAATGATGGGGGCTGTAGTCCAAGAATCTGGAGGGCACCAAGTTGCAGAAGGCTGGAGCACCTGACTGACCCACAGAAGTCAGAGAGCAAACTCCAGGGCAGCTCAGCAACTCACCTGGCCCCTGGGAGAACCCTAAGCAGGAAGGGTTTTGCCTGTGCTGCTTCCTTTTGCAAATACGAAGCAAAGGGGCTCAAACCGGCCTCGGCCGGCTAGCAAATGAAAACAGAGGCGGCTGAGAACTTTGGCTGCATGACAGGGAATAATCCCGAGGCTGGACAAGCACCAGTCTTCACATTTTGAGCCACCCTTCAGAGCCAAGTCATACCACAAGCATCGTGATAATCTCTGAAAAAGCTTTCTTTGTTTTTGCTGACAAGAGAAGGCAGAAGCAGAGAGATACATTCAGATGGAAAACAGACCAAAATGGTAAGCCAGTCAAGAAAATCCACACTGCAGCGTGAGGCCAAAGGGGGGGGGTCGCACTTAGCCAACAAGAACTGCCCCCACCCAGTGGCAAAACAGCTCCCTTCTTCCACAGTTCTGGAGTGCAAGTGCACAAGATGGGAGAAAGGCCAATGTATTCGAGTTCCTCCCAGCTCTCATTGGCCGGCTGCTGCCATTCCCCCCCGGCCAGGACAATCAAGATGGCGGCCACCGTCCAAGTGGCGCTGCAGGTAGCTGTGGAAAGTCACTGCCCAACCATCACCCCAATCCCACGCCTTCCGTTTCACAGCTGCAGCAAAAGTGGGGAATCCAGCCCAGCTCTGCTGCAGCCCGAGAAAGCCCCCACACCCTCTACCTTCTGCGTCGTCGTGTTGGTTGTCTGCGTCGACGGCTTGGTGAAGGTGATCTTCACAGGGGACATGTGAGGCGGCAAGGAGTTGGCGATGCTCTGCATGATGCTGCTCATCTTGGGGCTTCCGCTGACAGGCACCGTGATGGTCTTGGTGACCGGCGTGGTGGCCTTTGGGACCTCTTTCAGGAGGACGGGGGAGGAACTGGAGGAGTTGGTGCGGCGCCTCTTGCGGGGCTTCTCGTCGTCGTCCGAGCAGCTCACACCTGCGACGAGACACACAGGGCCCCGTTCGGCACTGCCGCTCCCTGCTGCTCCGTAACAGCTCCGGGGAACGGACGAGCAGGAGCGCAGCCTGAACGCCTGCAGTCAGCCAGCTCCGCTGCGAGCGGGACAAACCAGGACTGTGGCCGATGTCTACTCAATTTCCCACAGCATACCCAAGAAAACGAAACTGCTGTGCCTCGGGGATCCCCAGACCTCTTGGGCTGGTGGGCACAGTCGATGTTGGAGGCACTCTCGCAAAATGGCTGATGTTGTGGGCTGCTCAGAAGACCTCCAATTTCCCAGAAAAGGCAACTCAGGGAAGAGGAAGGAGCCCATGAGCCCAAGTGCATAGCAGAGATGGGCGCCGAATTCCAAAACTCAAAACCACGGTATTGAATTCATATAAAGACGGTGCCGGAAGGGCAGCACCTCACTTTCCAGCATGGCAACTTTCCCATTTAAAAAGGTCATTAAAGGATACCCCTCAGAAATAAGACAGAACATCGGGGAGCCTGGTGTGCACCAAGAAAGGAGTCCACGGGCATGCCGGTGTCCCAGGGGGCCCCGCTGTGACCTTAGTGCAACCAACTTCCCAACGGCCAGCTTTATTCACTGTCCAAATTCTCTCGCCCATCGCAAATAAATAATCCCATTTATTTATTCAGTTTTGCACCACCTGCCTGGCCGCATTCACAAGACATCCAGGAAAGACACAGTTGCAGGAGGTGCTGGAGGCGAAGGTGCCTGCCGGCCAGCACCCAAAGCCCCGGGCCGAGCCTGCGGACGCCTCTGAAGAGCGGCTTCTGGGGCAAAGCCTCGGAGCGCCGCCTTTCCACTTACTTTTGACGTAAACGGCGCTGCCGCTCGGCAGGACGACCACGTTGGAAGCGGGACTGGCAGGCCGGGGGGACTTCACGGTGGCAACGCTGCCGCTGGGGACCGGGGTGGACGTTGGGGTGGAGGTGGTACTCGTGAAGGAATAGCACACCACCACTGGGGAGGAAACAGAGACGCCACTCGCTGAGGGCCGCCCGCACGGCACAGGTGTGCTCCTCAGCACCCCAGTCGGACAGCAGCCGCGTCGCCTTGCGCACACCGAGCCCCATCAAGAGGAACAATCCCCTCCACGCAAAACTGGGCTGCCGAACATACTTCGGCAGGATGGAAAGGTAAACACGAGATTTTCCTGTGAAAATCTAGATGGATTCCATTATAGGTCCCACGTACGCCTTCTTGGCTGGCGTTCACGCTTTCTCCAGGCTGCAAACAGCGAAAACCCAAACCCTCGCCTTCTTCTAAGGGAAGCTGGCTGAGGAAGAGCGGGTGCTGCATGCAATCCTGGCGAGAGACGGCTGTCTACAAGACCTTTGGCCCAAGGCAGTCCTGGGCAGCTGGCGGGACACCTCTTTCCTGAGCTCGCACTGGACTGCCCCCACTTTAAGGACAAGCCTGGTGCTGCCCTGTCGTTTCTGCCCCGTGTCCCAGAGCAAAGCAATGTGGGGGACGTTCTGGGAAATGAAAATGGGCCCGGTGCTGGGCCTGCCGGGGGGCCATTTGCCAGGGATTCCTCCAGCTGGCCTTGGACATGGTACTGCCTGCTTTGGATCGAAAGAGGTCCGTTTTCACTTCAGCTCTTTTGACCAGCTTTTCCAGACTTCAGTTCCAGACCTGGCCTGTCTGGCACCACCAAAGATTTCCTTTCCAGACCTTATCGCTCACTCCCCGTATCCCTAAAAGAAAAGGGCGACCTACCTTCGCCTTCCTTGTTTCCTGTTTCAGCAGGGGAAGGGAGGGAGGCGTTATGCTGGAGGGCTGCATTGGCAACGGCATTGGCCGTGACGGTGAAAGCGGTTTGGGGAACCAGCCGTGGCATGAGCGGGACCAGGCGGCGGCCCTCGATGGACCACTCGGAAGAGCTGTTGGGCCCGGACATGCTGAAGAGAAACACACGGGCCGGTGAGGGGAAGCGTTCCATTCCGTCACGCCCCCAGCGGAGCAGGCCTTCGCTACCCACGAGGCACTTCCGGCCACGACTGCCACGGGCAGGAGCAGGCTCAACCCCGGCTCCACGCGTACATGCAACCACGGCGAAGGCCGCTCCCGCCCCCGCCGCGCAGGACGCGCTTTGCACTCGATCCCTGGCACCTTCCCTTGGCCAGCCTTCCCCATGCCCGTGCCCCGAAGCGGGGCCGAGCCACCAGCCCCGTGACCCTCGGCCAGGGATGTGCCGCCGGGCCACGCGGGGTCAGAAGAGCTGCACGGGGCCCCGTCGTACTTATGCGCGATCGTCGTCAGCCGCTCATCGTTGACTGCCCTCCGAACTTCAGCCCGATGTCGCTCAGTTGAAATACTGTGGGAAGACAGCAGAGCGTCAGGCAGGGGAGCTGAGCTCCCAGGGCACGCGCAGCGAAGCCAATGCCTGCCAGAAACGAAACCATTACGGGGCCCAGCGACATCAGCCACACCGGCAGCAAGCGGTGAAGCTGCTCGCCATCCACGTGACATTCGCCATCTCCTGGAAATGGCACCCCCCTGCTATCGGATGGAGGAGATGGATGGAGAGCCACAGCCCCCACACCAGCTTGGTCCTCCCGGCCCTCGAGCGAAGCCAACCAGCCTGCCCAAAGCCCACCGTCTGGCAGGGAGGGAGATCCTTGCTGTTCTTCCTGATCAGAGGCGGCTGCAAGAACCCGCTTCAGCTGGGGCACTTCCCAAACTGGGAAGGGAAGCGGTACATAGGGGAACCTCCGCTGTTACTGGTGCCACTGCCTACGTGTAACTCATGGGAGCGTTGTCCCTGCTAGTTTCCCCTGTGGGGGGGGGGGGTCGCGTGGCAGGTGAAACTGGGCCCCAACCGAGGGGCTGGCAGGGGGGACCATTCCCTCCAGCGTGCACCTGAGCCAGGTCTCTGGCCCAGGTACAAGCTGTAGGTGCCGCGGTGATCAGCTCCTTCCCACCTAAACTGCCTCCCCCGCATTGGGATAAGGCCGAGAGTCAGTCTCTAGTCACACATAATGGGGGGATACAAGTACGACAGCCAGACCACCCACACTCAGAAGGCAGAGGGGAGTGTTCCAAGTTGACAGAGAGCCAAGCCAGGTAGTAAATGTGATTCACCTAAGCACTTTGGAGAGCTCTCCAAGGAGGTCTTTCTTCTCCTTCGTGAGGTCCCCCTGCGCCCGCAAAGCACTGATAACACCAGCGTAGGCCTCCAGTTCTGCAAACAGGGAGAGTGGGGGAGAAGAGAAACACTGCAATTAGGAGCACATCCCAGGCAAGAAACCACCGGAAGGGCGACCAGGACGAGGCCCTCTTAACCTGTCACCTCCCGATGGGCTGGGCTACCACTCCCATCACCCCAAGCCAGCCTGCCCACAGAAATAACAGGAGCTACCGTACAACGCATCTGGAGAACCCCCGGCTGGGCAAGGCAGGACTGGAAGGGTCAGAGGTGGGCCAGGTCGTGCTGCTTCTCCCTGGCCAGAAGGGCGGGCACGGGCGGCTGCGGGGGATCAGGGAGCAGAGCGTCACTTGCTCCTGACCCAGGAGGATGATTTGCTCACAGGGGGAGCTGCACGAGGTGCTGCTCTAAGCGCGCCACCCTCCAGGTAAGGGCCAGCTCCTCAGGGCACAGGCCACCTCCGGAATGAGCGTTCCCTGGCTCTCTGCTGGATTGCGGCTCTCAGAATCCCAGGCCGTCAGCCTTGCTAGTCGAAGCTGACGGGAGACAGATGCCCATCAACATCCAGAGATGCTCCACGCTTCTTTTACTCTGTTTTCCAGTATAAAGACGAGACACATTTCTAATTTTCACTCAGGATGGTCACCCTGGTGGTCAGAAAGCTAGAAACGCAGCTTGGTTCTGACTACTTCAGGTAAGGACGAATTTTGTTTGGTCCGTGTTTTTAAGGAAGCCGATCTCATTTGTGCTGCCTGGATGACCACGCGGATTGGAACACCGTTCTCCTTTGGACCATGTCCTACTCTAAATTTTGTGGTGCAGTTCCTGGCTCAAAAATTGCCTAAAAATATGTGTACAAATTGTCATGCTTTTTTAGATTGCAGATTAATGCAGTAACTGGGCAGAAGAGATTTAGGCCTGCGGCTGTGTACAACTAACATGGACCAGATACGGACTGATTCATCCATCCCCACTGCCAACTGCTTTGTGCCAGGATTCTCTTAATTTTTTTTTTTTTTTTAATTATAGGTAAGAACAGAAAGTAAGAGGCACTGGCGGGTTGGACAACCAGGCTCATACCTGAATGAAGTTCTAAATCCAGAGTCAGGTTTCACATGATATCACAAGGGAGACTCACCGTGCATTGCACAGTCGAGTGTGCTGGCCAGCCCTTCTTTCAGAATACTGCATCACATTACATCCCCGCTCTCATCTGGTGCTACATTTTCGGCCCCGCTAACAGGACTAAGTTAGTACTGTATGGCCACTGAGCATGCACAGTTTTCACAGCCCCATTCTGGGTGCAGGGGAATGCATCCTCTAAGGTTTTCTTGTACTTCTGCAGTCCCTGGGGTGGCCTCCGGTTGGCCAATACCTTGCTGCTAAGCGGAGTGCTGTCACTTTGTCCACGGGACCAATACTGCTCATTTCTACGCATGGGAAATAGAGTGATATGAAATTACACACAGGCAAGTGATGTATGCTTGCCAGAACGTTTTCTAGAAATGCCAAACATGAAAAGGGAGCTTGCTCTCCTGCTCCCTCCTTCAGCGGCTCCCTAAATATGCCGAGTCCTTCCCAAGCCTCCTGAGAAGATCCGGGGGTACAAGACAGAAGGGGAATTGATCTGGCAGAAGCGTCCGTTTCACTCACAGGACATGGTTGGATAGGACACGCTGCCCTTAATGCAACGTAATCGCTACAGGTGCAGAGGGGACAGGCGGGAGGACGTCTGGAGGACGTCACTGAGCGACAGAGCTTTGACCAGCCGAGGAAGGGTGCCCCAGGTGACCAGTGGCCACGGCTTGATACTGACTGGCGTTCATCTGGCATGCTTTCCTGGCTCTCGAGCCTGATACTGACAGGGGGCTGAACGCTCAATTACCCCAAGGGCCCCAGAGCTTGTGCACCTGCTTGCCAGAGACAGTTCATGTGAAGATGCGCAGAGACCCCCAGAGGAGTCCCCCGCCAGAGCAGCATACCCAGTTTGCGAAGGACGCGCTTGCACTCATCCCTGCTGAGGTCCAGGAGGGTCGGCCACACCACAGGCATCGTTTCACGGCCCGTCTGCTCCGTCGGAGCTCACCCTCCCTGCAAATTCAAGGCAAGCACAGAAAGCGTCAAGGAAGATGTGGTGTGTGGCAGAGACGTCCAGATGCCAAGCCCCCGAAAGCAATGCTGGCCAAGTCACGACGCCAAGGGAATGCAAGGAATTAGAAGCGGTAGTTGACGAAGTGTCTGCTGCATGCAGAGAAAGGAGTCCGTTCTGTCCAGCTCACTTCCTCTGCTGACATTCCGGAAGGGAAAAAAATGGACTGCTGACATCTGTTCAAGAGCACGACTCTGAGCCCATGGGATCACCTGCAGAAAAGCTGTTTATCGAGGCAAGACCTGGAGTCGGGGAATTAGAGGGAAACTGATGGAGGGAAAGTGACTCCACATCTCTTGACTTCCAGTATTTTGAAGTAGTGATTGTGGTTGCATTGCTTCATAAATCCAAGACACGCCATACTACAAACAAAAGTATTAGGAAACTCTGCATTCGTATTTCATTGCTGTTCTACTTATCTGTCCTAAGAGCCCTCAACAGTGGCTAACCATAAGTTTTTAAAAATAAGAAATCACTAAAATGTTAATCAAAAAGCAACAACAGCATAGCAATATTAGCAATATTAGCATTACGGTGATCCAGAAAACTGCTTAGGGCAGAGTGCAGAACCTCAAAACTGGAAGCCAAATGCTGCACCACTAGGGGTTGCAATCCAGTCTGCCTGGGGTCCCAAAATGCCCCGCTTTCTCTTCAATAGTGTGAGGGTTTCCCAGCTTTTGTGTGGTTTTGAAAACGCCCCTCTTAGGGCTTAGGAAGTGGCTGTAAGAGCATTAAGCTAAGAGGTGCTAGAGCTTTTGGCCTCACCTGCCCCTGGAATGCTGCCCACCCACCCCAGGAGTTTCTCCAAAATGAAATCTGGCCCTCGGGCCACAAGAGGTTCAAACACTGCCTGTCAGAACAGCCTAATCACTCGGTTGTACACTCTGCCTTCAACAGAAACGGTGCAACCACTGCACTGGATTCTGTGGTGCGGGTTTTTCGGAACATTTTAAATCGGGGAAGTTTTCTGGAAAATGTTCTGATAGAAGGAGCTCATCTGCATTCAAAAATCAGTCTGCAGGGGAAGATTTTCTGACTCCCTAGAGCAGATACTTTTCAAGGTTTGTTACTAAATGAAAGCAAAATACTCACTGAAATTGAGTGCCCTCTCTGGTGGGGTGGGCGGCTTCTGGCGCCCCCCCCCCACGTTCTGGTCTACAGCTCCCATCAACTGTAAGCCCTTTTTTAAAATATACAGTGGATTGTGCATTAGTTCAAGTCTTTCCAAGCCTTGTGTTCTCAAGATGCCTTGGACTACAATGCCCAGGACGATTCTGGCAGCTCTAGTTCAACCCATCTGGAGGGCACCAGGTTGGAGAATGCGGCAGCGTGACTTCAGCAATCGGAAGGCGCATGCTTGATAGGCTGACAGCCAAGCATCTATGTTGACTGAGATACAGGGCACCTTTGGTTTCGCAGCCTCGACTTGTTCGTTCCATTTCACGCTGAGACACCGTGCGCTCAAGCTTGAGGCTCACTAAATAAGCACCAACCCATTCGATTATGCTTGCATCACAAAACTAAGCTACAGCCGGGGATTCTGGGGAATGCCAAGTGGCACTGCCCTGGCTGACATGTGACACCAGACTGTGCCTGGCTGGGAAGGGAGTTGAGTCAGGGCTTCCCTCACACGGGGAATGCGCAGTCCTAGGGCAGGAAAGGCAAGCAAACATCCTTGGCCCATCTGTGTGCACACACCCTGGTCAACTAGCATCTAACATCTGGGTCACACTCTCAAACGCCCTCCCCTCCAGAGGTCCCAAGAAGCCACCCCCTCACCCGCTTTCCTCGGACCTCGAGTCGTTCGGCCTTTCCCAGCTTTTGTGCCTTTCCCCCTATTCTTAAGGGCTGAGATTTAGTTTCCATCAGCAGAATTTCAAGCCGGTCCTTGGGCTCCATCCCTTCCACCCACCACTGGCACGCCACCCCTGAGGGCTTCCACAGAATGGAATTTGGCCCTGAGACTGGAACCGCCCGAACACCCCTGAGCTGGACAGTCCATCCCCATTTGCAAGCACGGCAAAAATGTCCGTGGATGTGTGTGTTGCGGGATTTTCAGCATTTTCCAGACAGTAACAGATGAACGAAAAATGCAGGCGTTCTAGACAGCAGTGCACCTCCGCGTGACCAACATTTTCTCTCCAGCGTTCCCCTGGGAGTAACACTAGGAGAGGAGGGAGTGTTATTTCTAATGGAATTGTGGAAAATAAACTAATGTAAAACAGAAGCTGCTTAGAGACGCACCACCGAGGGATTATCTCCAGGAGAAAAAGGGGAAGGGAGGCAGTCTGGGGACAATCCATCCCACATCCTTCCCAGTTTCATGACAGAGGGGAACTTCTGCCTTAGCTTTCTTTCAGGGTTCCTTGACAAGCAGATCTTTGGGGAATTGTTGCCCGGAAATAGAGCCGGACCTGATCTATCCTTTCTCTCTACTCAAAAACCAGGCAGCTAAGAATATGATGCAGATTCAAAACAAGATGTTAAAGCGATACCATAAAAAAAAACACACACACACAACAGCAGTGCAACAAACAGCACTTTAACCGCTCCAGCAATGATCAGTTCAGACACTCGAGGCCGGACTGAACACTTCCTGGTAGAGGTAACAGCTTGTTCTTGGTGGCATGCTCGGTTTACAGAGAGCAACCATGAGGCCCAGCCGGCCTCGTGCATGAACGGAGAGCGTGCCTCCAGGACCAGCCCAGCCTGAACCGATCACCATGCACGGTGAAGCGGCTCAGGGCACATGACGAATGCGCCAGATCCCTTACGTTACAACTAAGTGGACATTCCCAAAGCCCTTGATATGGGGAGTTCTTGAAAAAAAGAGACCCAGAACCTGATGTTGCTCAGTGGCATTGATTCGGCTTCGGAAGGAATCGCCTTGGGGCCTGCTTTGTTACACAACCAGCAGGCCTAGCAGCTGCAATGGGTGCAGTTGCCAGATGCTAGCAGGGTACTGGCATTCACCTCATTTATTTATCTATTTATTTTCTAGACCGTCCCTTTCCGAAGTCTCGGGATGGTTTAACAGTACAAAATGTAAAATAAAACACAGCATTCTACAAATTCAACTGACAATAAAACCCCAATTAAAACAAGACCTTCCCTCCAGCCCTGAGGAGGGAGAATTAGAATTAGTCGGAATCCCTTTGCTTCAAACGCCACGTGTGGCAGCCAATGCCCTGAATGACGGAAAACAAGCCACAGGATACATTCCATGGGAGCTGCAGGGGGATTGGAAGAACCCCAGTGCCGCAACGTCTTTCCACCCTAAGCAGCATTCCAGTCTGGGTCCATTCTGGGTTCCACACGACTGCAGAAATCAGCCTTGCAGGCAGAATTCCACCTCTTGAGAATCGCAATTTCAAATGTTCTGGGTTTCTGTGATGCAAAAGAAAGGCCCAGAAGTGTGTGTGCATCTAGGCAGAGGAGGCTTAAATCAGAGTAGCAGACACGAAGGCAGGATGCGCTCCAATGGAGCCAAGCCCGGGGAACCAAGGTGCAATTTGGATGTCAGGAAGTCCTCCCTGACAGTCAGGACCCCGAGGGGGTGGGATGGGCTTCCATGGGAGGTGGTTGGGGCCCCATCGGTGCGGGTGTTCAAGGATAGGCTGGACATGCACACGGTGGGCATGTCATGAGCGGAGCCGGCTGGAGCCGGGGGTCAGACTAGATGGCCCAGGAGGTCCCTTCTGACTCACTCTGTTTCTATGATAGGCATGTGTCTTTAAATAAGAAATCAGTACTCTGAGCTCCCTTTGACCCTCCTCATAGCAGACATGCAAATATATGCAAATGCACTTTATCTGCAAAATATATACAGGTTGCTTCCCTCCCCCTTTCAATATATGATATGCACACCTCAAAACCCCACAACAAACCTAGCCAGGGTGTACCTTCATGGAGACATCAGCAGAGTGATTAGTTCAACCTCTTAGCCAGCAGCGCCCCGAAAGCACCACAAAGCGCAAAGCCATGCCCACACACCAGTGGGTCCCACTGGGCAACCCACAAGCAAAACCATCAAGCCCCACCTGCCCCTTGCGCAGAGCGCTAACCTGGCCAGCCCTCACAAATTAAAGTGCCCAGACTCCTGACAGTCTCGTTCCCTGTTGCCAGAATCCACACATTTCACACGCGCACACACAAACACACACACACTCCCAGTGACTTGACTCAGGCAGGGCGGCATTCTTGCAATGCTACTCTGTCTGGAATCACAAGCACAAGGCCTACAGGGCATGGATAAGTGTGTCAGATTTGGCACTGCAGAAAAGTAATTGCACAAAATCAAAACGCCCGGAAATCCTAGGCACTAAAGTAGCTTGTCAACAAACCAGAGTTTGTTTGTTATAAACGACTGGCTGCGTTTTAGCCAATTCAGCGATCGATCATAAATATTTTCCATCCGCAAAACCTTCCTTTTGACACGTGGAAAGCAGAGACAAAAGACTATTCATGCAGAGAAAGTGTTTATCTTTAGCATTTGCTTTTGCAGTATCCTATTACATTAACAACCCAGGGCCGTAAAGGAGAGAGACCAAAACTTACAACAAATGTATGCCTTTAATTCCGAACCTCACTGATTTGGGACTGCCCACTCCGAGCACCAGTTAAGGCACAATCCTTTGCAGATTTAGACAAAAAAAGGCTGTAACTCTCAGCTTGCCCCTGGTCAGCAGTGGAAAAACTGCATGGGATTGAGCATGTAATCCAGTGATTTTAGCCAGCTCTATTATCAACAGGACATATCTGTAAGCAAGTGTGCACAGCATGCAAAACGTGAAGAAGAGGCTGCACCAAGAG